GTATAAGCAATTTCAAATATATTTGTCAATAGACGATTTTATTAAAGAACGTTTATTCCCTTTATGTTTGTAAATGCATTTATGAAGATTTTCAAACATACTCAAAAGTTGAGAGGATAATAGAATCATATACCTTTCACCAAGATTCATAATTTCAAGATTTTATCACATTTATTTTAACTGTCCCTTTTCTTTGATACAGCATTTAAAAATAAGTTCCAGAAATAATATTTTATCATCTAACATACTACATACGCATCTCTAAAAATATGTGTATTTTCTTACATAAACACAGTAACAATGTCACCTGGATAATAGGCCTAAATTAAAGTTCAAAACTATAAATCTTGGGCTGGGAACATTGGCTCAAGTTGTATTGCTTGAGCCTGGCAAGACCCTGAGCTCAAATCCCCCTACTGCCAAGATTAAAAAAAAAAAAAAAGTAAACTATAAATCTCATAGGAGATAAAATCGAAGAAAACATAGATGACCTTGGTTGTGACAAAGACTTTTGAGACAGCACAAAAGGCACTATCCATGAAAGAAACAAAAAAACTGGACTTCATTAAATTTCTGTTCTGTGACAGACTGTGAAGAGAATGAGAAGATAGGCCATAGACTGGAAGAAAATATTTAAAAGTCATATAATGAAACTATTATCCAAAATACAGTGTAACAATAGGAAAATATAATGATAGGAAATTGAGCAGCCTGATTGAAAAAGGAGCAAAAGACTTGGACACCTCAAAAAAGATACAAAAGTTGCAAGTATGCATATGAAAAGATGTCCAATTTCAAATGTCACTAGGGAATTGTAGATTGAAACTGAAATACCATTACACCCAGTAGAAATGCCAGGGTCCCAATCCTGCTAATGCTAGTAAGGACCTGGAGCAGTAGAAACTCTCATTCATTGTTGATGGGAATGCAAAATGATACAGCCGTTTTGGTGGTTTATTACAAAATTAAACATACTCTTTTCATTTAATTCAGCAATCACAATCCTTGGTATTTATCCAAATAACTTGGAAACCTGCACAAAAACTTGTATACAGATATTTATAACAGCTTTGCTCATCATTGTCACAACTTGGAAGCAACTAAGTTGTCCAACAGTTTGTGAATGGATAAACCGATACATCCACATAGTAGAATATTCAGTATGAGAAAGAAATGAACAAGTACTAGGGATGTAGCTCAGTGATAGAGTGCTTGCCTAGCATGCACAAGGTCTTGAGTTCAATCCCCAACCCTGCAAAATAAAAAACATAAAGGAGCTATTAAGTCTTGAACATAGGGGAACTTTAAATTCTTAATTACTAAGGGAAAGAAGGAAATTGAAAGGGCCATATATTGTATGGTTCCAACTATATAACATTCTGGAAAAGTCAAAACTATGGAGACAATAAAAAGATCAGTGACATCTAGGAGTAGAAAGAAGGGAGGGTTCAACAGATAGAGCACAAAGGGTTTTTAGGACAGTGAAACTGTGTGATACTATGATGGTATATATGTGTCATTATACATTCATCAGAGCCCATTGGACGTACAGCAACCAAGAGTGAGTATTAATGTAAACTGTGGACAGTGGGTGGTCATGTGCCAACATATGTACATCATCTTTAATAAACATATCATTGTCGTAAAGGATGTTTTGTGGGGATTTTATTGTGTGTGTGAAATCTCTGAACCTTTGCTTAATTTTGATATGAATAAAAAACTCAAAGTTTAATTAAGAAAAATGACTGAATTAATAACAAGACAGGACTGTACAATAGGTACAGTGTGTGTGTGGGGTGATTGTGGGAAGAGGAGAGGGTAATGGAGGAAATGAAGGTATGGGAGCATGGTTGATGGACTTCATATGCATGTATGAAATGGAACAGTGAAACCTGTTGCAATTGCTTAAGTGGGCCCAGGAGGAGGTGTGTGTGTATCGGTTTGTAGATGGTGGGGTTGATCAAACCAGTGAACAGTGTAAACCTATTTTGAATTGTCACAATGAATCCCCCTGTACAATGAATATATTGTAACAAAAATGAAGAAAAAATTGAAAACCAATGTCTGAGACTTATCTCAAGATAATATATGTCAAGGGCATTAAGGATGGATTTGATAAGCATTATCATGGTGTATGACTGATAGATCTGGCTGGTGGATATATGAGGCTTATAATAACTTTTGATTTCTGGTAGGGCACATCCCTCCACCAGATTCAAAACTATCATGTCCTTCATCATTAAACTTTTTATTGTGTAAAACTTTAAGCTACACAAGAGTAGATAAAATACTGTAAGTAATGCTATGTTTAGACAATATAGTATTGGTATGTGACTAGATAAGTAGATATTTTTATAGAATAGAGTTCCCCAGAATGAGACCCTCCAATATGGAATTTTGATGTAGGACAAAGACGGTGTTATTAAAATGAGAAGCGACTGAGACACTGGGTATAGAACAATTTGGACATCTGTGTAGAAATAGATTTCTATTTCATGCCTGAATACTTGTGAGCTTGATAGATGATACATCGATCCTGTGATACCCCTATTAATGAATGAAATAGTTGTAAGTATCAACAGTGTTGGGGATAAGAGTTAATTTTGTAAGAAGACTGCTATGAGAACACAAAGGTGCAAAGCCTGAAGCATAGAACAGGTGCAAAATAGACACAAGAAAGCAGTGAACTCAAGTTGTTGATAGTTGTTACTTCAGAGAAAAGTAGTGTTTTTTGTGATGCTTTATTTCTATTCTTAAAATGTAGGGGGTGGGGGCAGGGGGGAGAAATGAACCAAGCCTTGTATGCACATATGAATAATAAAAGAAAAAAATGTGTATTTTATATTTTTTGCTTTTAGAATTTTTTATTTTTGAGAGGAGTGTCTCACTATGTTGTCCATTCTGGACTTGAATGCCGGGGCTCAAGGGATCCTCCTGCCTCGGCCTCCTGAGTGGCTGTGACTACAGATACACCCTACTGCACTGGGCATTTGTATATATATATTTTTTTTAGTTATCAAAATAGCTTTATTAAGAACTGGCCAAACTTTAACTATTACTATTATTACAGTGTTTTGTTCAAATTTCTAAGTTATGTTATCTTACACATGTACATAAACATCAGAAAAGTTTGAATACTTTTATTTTACTACTTTAATCTTTTTCTTGAAGATGAGGGTTTCATCTTCCATCAGTTACGTTGTTATGACAGAAGTAAATTAAATAGGAACTGAATATGAAAAACCTCATCATGATCTGGAACCACTGAAGTTTTCTACTTCTTGCTCCATTTTCTGTGTAAGTGTTTTATCATAGTCCCCACGAAGCTGGTAAATACACTGGCTGATGACTGCATATAAACTTTCCAGTTGAAATATATTGTATACTTTACTTTTTTTAACAACAGCTTTCAAAAGATTTTTTAACTGCTCTTGAGGAAGTATCCAGTATATAAACTTGAGCCTTGGCAATTGTAGTTCCCACAAATGAACAAACTATCCCAGAAATAATTCTTTCCCATTTGACGTAACAGTTTTAACACACAGAATACAGAATTCACACACACACACACACACACACACACACACACACACTTTTCCTTTGTAGTTTCACAGGTTTCTGTCTTTACTCAGTTTCTGAGTCAGTCTCACTCACACACCTACCACTGTTTCTTTGGCATTCATATTTCCTTTAAGATGTAAGATAATTGCAGAAAGCAATTATGTTCTTTTAACTGTCTCTGGCTAAAGCTTCAAAATATTTTAATCGTGATAGGGAAATGGCATCAAACTGATATTGAGGAGTAAAGATTGCTTTCTCTCTCTCTCTTTTTTTTTTTTTTGGTGGTACTGGGGAGTAACTCAGGCAGATACTCTACCTCTTGAGCCACTCTTCCAGCCCGAGAGAGTAGGGATTTCTTAAGTGACCTTACTTGTATTTAATTCGACTAGGTTTTTCTCCCTCCTAGACTACCACATCATTAATTCCTGTGAATTGTTTGTTTGTTTGTTTATTTATTTATAATACTGGCGTTTGAATTCGGGGCATTAAGCTTACCAGGCAGGTGTTCTATCTCTTGAGCTATGCCCTAGCCCTGTTTTGATTTAGTTATTTTTTGAATTGTATCTCATATATTTCTCAGAGTAGTCTCAGAATTTGAAACTCTTTCCCCATAGCTTGGACCACGGGCACACACCATCAGTTTTGTCTTGTTTGTTGAGATGGAGTCTTGCTGACTTTTTGCCTGTGCTGGCCTTGAACTGTAATCCTGCTAATCTCTGACCCCCCGCCCAGTAGCTATGATTACTATGCCTGGCCCTCCTGTGACTGATAACCAATGGATGTCTGCACAGTTTTTCAGAATGCTTTGATGCTGTCTCTTTGGTTTTTACAAGTGGTTAGTAATTTGTATAAAGTGTTACCACTGTCTTGTAAGGAAATTGAGGCGTGATGGTCCTAAAGTCATAAAGCTGGCTAAAAGTAGATTTAAATCTTCAAAGTTTACTTAATGGCCATTTTACTTATTTATTGTATTTTGTAAAGGATATCAGTGACTTTTCTTCATATACCCCTTTCAACTTTTAAATACCTAAAGTTTTTCTTTTTTTTAAAAGAGACAAACAGCAGTATACTGGGAAAAGGTTTATAAGAGCAGACAGATTTAATACCCAGAATATATAAAATGTTCTTCCAAATGAGAAGGAAACAGTTTATTGGAAACTCATAAGCTGGTCATGGTGGTGCATACCTATAACTCCAACACTCAGGAGGCAGAAGCAGGACGGTCATGGGTTCAAGGTAAGTCTTGGTAAAGTGAGACCTCCATCTCCAAAACAAAAGAAAAACAAAAGGTCTAGGAGGGGTTGTAGCGCAAGTGGTTAGAACACTTGCCTAGGAAGCAGGAAGCCTGGGTTTATTCCCCAGAACTGAAAAAAATGAATGAAGATTGTCAGTCTGATTAAGTGAACTCGTCATTAATATAAAGTCTGACTTTTTTTCAGAGGATCTGAAGAGGCAAAATGCAGTGTTACAAGCTGCACAGGATGATTTGGGACACCTTCGGACACAGCTCTTGGAAGCTCAGGCAGAGATGGAGAATATTAAGGCTATTGCCACAGTCTCTGAGAATACTAAGCAGGAAGCTATAGATGAAGTGAAAAGGCAGTGGAGAGAAGAAGTTGCTTCACTTCAGGCCGTTATGAAAGGTAAAGAGAAGGAAAGATCAGTGTCATGACTTTCTAAGATAACCAAATTCTGAGGACTGAGAACAGTTTCAGACTGTCATCATTATACCCTGGGTTCATTTGTGGATTTATGTACTGTTGTCTTCAAGATGTACTGTCAGAACAAAGGGAAGTCAATAGTATTGTAAATGTGTTTATCACCTGTGTCTTTAATAGATTTAATGAGCAGAGGTACAGTAAGAGTGTTACAGAGATAATGTATTACATGTGGACATTGTAAGGTGGGATTATTATTATTATTATATTACATTGTAAGGTTTTAAAGAGGGCCTTAAAAGTGGATTTTTGCTTAGGAGTCAGGCATGTAATGCAAAGAGCAAAGTGATTATCTACACTTCATAGCTCTAGTTAATTATTGCTTTTCCAGTCTAGTGTAGCCATATAGTTCAGACTTAAGAAAAAAAATTGTATTGTATTTGCACTGCAGTTGATGTGGAAGAATGGCCTATGGGTTAGGATGGGCTTTATGGACTGCCAGCTTGTGACTCTTGGTCTGAAGGAAGTGTACTAGTATAGTTTCTCTTTCCTTTTGGCAATAATGTTTAATTGCTTGCTACGTTTCTGAGAAGGTGATGACAAAATGGAGTACTTCCCTGAATTTTTGAGAATCCTGGAATTAGTTGATACTATAAATTTGGAATAATGATCATTTCTCCTGCCCTCATATTTGCATTTGTGTGATATTTTTCTGCCTTAGTGCTCTTGTGAGAAGACAGGTAAGGCTACCCCAATTTCTGTGGTAGTTGTCTCATAATAGTTACTCTAGGTCTTATGTAACAAATTTGACTGTAGTTCTCACAGAACAAGAAGTCCTAGCATCCCACCTTTTTCCAGTCATCTGTTTCTTCACTATTGATATGGTTTTCAATTTTATCTTTGCTTTGTGGCTGAAAAATGACTGCTATGCCTCCAGTCAACAACAGAAAAGCAAAAGTTTTCTAGAAATCTGCAGCATATATACCCCTCCCACTTTGTTGACCAAGTATGTAGTCACCTAGAAGTGTAAGGAAACTGGAAAAATGTAGTTTTATTTTTACTTATTTATTTTTGTGGTGCAGGGAATCAAACCCAGGGCTTCATGTAAGCGATCTACCCCTGACCTCCCTCCCCACCATGAAAATGTAGTTTAAAAATTGGGCACATTGACCTAAACAAAACTGGGATCCTGTTAATAAAGAAGAAAAGTGGAAATTTATGGTCAATTAGTGGTATCTGTTATGTGGTGTTTTAAGATTATATTAACGGTAAAGCCACTTTACAGAGAAATCTATCTCACTTTGGAATCTTAGGTGTTATAATAAAATGTTCCAAAAATAATATCCCTCTTTTCCCACTTTCAGGTAGTTGGACAGGTTGACAAGTATTTGTCTTGAGAGCCATAGTGTAGTGAATAAGAACTTACACTTTGGAGTTTGCCTTAAGTTTGAGTTCAAGTTCTGCTTGTTTCTGGTTATGAAACAGTGGCCAAACTATTTACCCTTTCCTAAGGTTTCTCTTCTGTAAAATAATATATGGCACAGGTTTATTGTGAAGATTAAAGATGATGTAATAAAGCCCTTATTTCTACACATTGTAAGAGCTAGAATTGTTTTTTTAGTGAATTAAAAGTCTTCCAGAAATTAGATAAGCTTTTTATGAAACTTTAGAAATTTTAGTGTGCCAGATATTTTTCCTCCCATAATGGTTAGATGTAAATATGGTGATGTTTTATAGAAACAGTTCGTGACTATGAGCACCAGTTTCACCTTAGGCTGGAGCAGGAGCGAGCACAATGGGCACAGTATCGAGAAACTGCAGAACGAGAAATAGCTGACTTAAGAAGAAGACTGTCTGAAGGTCAAGAGGAAGAAAACTTAGAAAATGAAATGAAAAAGGTATAAAGGAATATGTTTATTCAAATGCAAAGTGCTTTCAAATATTGTCATAGTACTAGAAGTTGTTCTTTAATGTTTTCTGTTAGAAGAATTATTTGGACACAGACCTAAAGATAATACTTGATAATTGATGCCCTTTCCCTAGATAATACCTATGACAAACTCCCTTACTCTCTTCACATCTTTGATCAGATGATACCTTTTCATGAGGCTCATCTGACTGCCCTGTTTAACATTGTAATTTGCCCACCTCCCTTCCCACCTTCCATGACTCTCATGAGTTCCTGTATTCTGCATTTTTCTCTTTCTGTACCATGTTTCCTTATAATAAAACAGTTCACCTCTTATTGTGTCTATTGTTCGCTGCCTTTCTCTCTTAGAATGTAAACTCCATGAGAACAGATTTTTTTTTTTTTTGCATGGTACTGGGGATTGAGCCAAGCTCTTTACCACTTCACCCACGTCCCAGCCCCAGAATCTTGTGGATCCTAAATACCTAAGAAGTATCTACCAAATAGAGACTCAGTAAATATTTGTTGGGTGAGAGCTGTTGCTTGATGATTGTGTCTAACTCACAGTTTTAGAACACATGTTGGTTTTCCCTGTTTCTCAGCATACCTTGATTGTTGTGTGGCACATGCCTCACGTGTTAATGCCTGGGCACAATGCAACTAAATATGAGATGGTTCATCTTATCATTGGGAAAATTTAAAAGCCTTGGACCAGTATGATTTCATGAATTATTATTTTATTAATTTATATACATAAATGTTTTAATCAACATTATATATTATAAGATTATCCAGTGTTACATACTAACCATTATATACATGTAATAATAAAAGAATTAACACTGAATTTTCATTTGGATTAATAATCATTTTTGTTTACTATTCTTTGACCCATTCTTCAGATATACATATATTCATTATTTCCACAATCTATCACTTTTTGTCATTTAAAAAGTTGTAATTTTTAAAATTCTTATTTTTTAGAACTGTTTTTGATTGACATAAAAATTATGAAAGAGTTCTCATATACTCCATCCCCAGTAGATCCTATTAGTACATGAGCATGGTACATTTGTCACAGTTAAAAATCTGATATCAATTCATTATTATTGACTGATGGTCCTTTGTTTGTATTCAGATTGCAGTAGTTTTTCCCTAATGTTCTTTTTTTTCTATTCAAGGATCTCATCCAGGATGGTACATTGTATTTAGTCCTGAAGTGACTCCTCCTGGAGTCTGAGGCTCCTCTTGCCTCAGTTTTTCAGTTTTGTTTGCTTTTAATGAACTTTCTGCCATTAAAATTTTTTAATGACCTTTTTGCCATTAAAAACTTTTAATTTTCTTTTATTTATTTTTGAGATAGGATCTTCTTAGGTAACTAGGGCTGGCCTAGAACTTGGTATGTAGCCCAGGCTGTCCTTGAACTCACAATCCTCTTGCCTCAGCCTCCAGAGAGTGGTGGGGTCACAGGCGTGTGTCCCCATGCCTGACTTCTTTCTGTCATTTTGAAAAGTTCTCTTTAAGACTTTGTTTACAGTGACATCTAACACTTGGAATTGTGAGACGATACTTGCATTAATAAATAACTACAATAAATTCTTTGCTTCCCTTCTTTTTTTCCTGCTGGCTTTTTCAGTGACCTCTGTGAGTCTCCCACTGTTCCTGACTGTGAAGACGTTTTAAGCTAACGTGTCTTTTTCAAGGAGTATTAGTTCAAAGCAAAATAATGACCACTTTGTACGGTTCTGAAAATAAAGTGAATCTGAATCCTGCTTTTCGTGTTTTTTTGGGAAGAATTCCCTTCACCATACATGATATTTTCTCTATTCTGAGCAATGGAGGATACGTTTGATCTCATTCACTCAGTGAATAAGGTTACTTTTCATTTTCATTAGCAGGATGAACTCCATCTCTTTGAATCTGCCTTTTATGTATGAGATATATATATATTGCTCAAATAAGTCACAGTGAATCAATTTTTCTATTCACTTCCAAATTCTAAATAAAATATGTGGAAAGGTCTGATAATGACTTGGTAGTCACAGTATTATAGCATTTACAAGTTGAACTTGGTTCAATTTTGTGACTGGTAATAAAGAGCCTGGGATTGTTATTTGTTATACTAATTTTTAGCAAATGGATTGGTCAGAGTTTTTTTAGAAAAGCAATATATGAGTAAGTTGTAGCATTTAATTCTTTTTAACCATAGGCTCAAGAAGATGCTGAAAAACTTCGGTCTGTTGTGATGCCAATGGAGAAGGAAATTGCAGCTTTGAAAGATAAACTGATAGACGCTGAAGAAAAGATTAAAGAGCTGGAGGCCTCAAAGGTTGTGAAACATTGTAGTTCATCTCCCCTAATGCCACGAAAAAACTGGAATCACTAAAGGGGAAAAATTCATTTAGACTATGCATTGTAAGAATATTGCCTGTGTTTGCTGGACACTGTGGCTCACAGCTGTATCCTAGCTACTTGGGAGGTAGAGATTGGGAGGATCACAGTTTGAGGCCAGCCCAGGCAAAAAAGTTATTGAGACTCCATTTCAGCCAGTAGCTAGGTGTGGGGGTATGCAGCTATCATCCCAGCTCTGCAGGAAGTGTAAAATAGAAGGATTACAGTATAGGCTGATCCCAGGCATAAGCACATAAATGTGGGACCTTATCACAAAAATAAGAAAAAATGACTGGGAATAAGGGGGTGTAATGCCTGTGTCACAAACTCGAGGCTCTGAGTTCAACCCTCCCCAGTGCCCCCCCAAAAAAACCAAAAAAAGAAATCTTGGCTATGTTTAAAATATGAAGAAAAAAAGAAAAACTCTGGATTCTTCTTTAAAAAAAAAAAAAAAGCATTGAGATAATTTTGCCTTATTTTAAGCAATCACGATAATGATGCCTTATTACAAGTGGCTACTTTTGTTTCAAAGTTAGTATTGATTTTCTTATCAAAATGAGACTCAGTCTTCATTAATTTTCTTATTTAGGAAAATAAACTGCAAAATTGACTTTGTTTTCTGATGCCAGCCCCATATTTAATGATGTCACTATAGTATGACTGAATTTGTTGTCCATAAAGTCACAGTAGAGAGACTCATGCCTGTAATCCTAGCTACTTGGGAAGCAGATTGCAGTTTAAGGCCAGCCCAGACAAATAATTCAAGAGACCCCATGTCCAAAATAGCCAAGCAAAAATGGACTAGAGATGTGGCTCAAGTGGTAGAGCACATGCTTTGCAAGTTCAAAACCCTGAGTTCAATAGCTGTATCTCTGATGAAGCTAAGCAGAGGACCAGGTGGGGAGGTGCACGCCCAAAATCCCAACCACTTGGGAGGCAGAGATCAAGAAGACCATGGTTCAAGGCCCAGGTAAAAAGTGAGGACCTCCCCACATCTGAACAAATAAGTGCAGCTGTAATCCCAGTTACTTGGTCCCTGGCCCCTGGGCAAAAAATGCAAGAGCCTATCCAAAAGAACAACTAAAGCAAAAAGGGTTGGGGCATAGCTTAAGTGGTAGAGAGAGTGAGAGAAAAAAACAACAAACCAATAAAAACAACCAAAAACAGAAAAATGAGAAAAGACTCAAATCACTAGAAATGAAAGGGGACATAGCTACAAGCCAGTAGAGATTTAAAAGTTGTAAATGCTATAAACAATGTCACAATAGTAAGTTTAAAAAAGAGGAAATGAAAATATTTCTGCTGCATGTGGTAGTACATAGCTGTAATCTCAATACTGAGGAGCCTGAGGCAGAAGGATTAAGAGTTCAAGGCTAGCCTGGACTACTTGTCTCAAAAAGAAAGGAAGAAGGAAGGAAGAAAAAAATAAAAATAATTGCCTATATAAAAAAAGCCAGAGAATGTACATTAGGTTATGAGAACTAATAAGAGGAAAGATGTTCCAACATGATCAACAAACAAAAACAGGTGTTTCTGTACCCCAGTAATATCTGAAGAATGTAATGGAAATAAAAGATTCTATTCACAACAGTAAAAAACCTTTTTGTTATCTAAGAATCGAAACAAAAATGGACAAACTGTTTTTGGGATACATTATAAATGAAGACCTGGGAACATGTGTGCTGTTTAATCAAGACAGAGCATCATAAAGCAGTGTGTCCCAAATTAATCTGTTAATTCAAAATTCAGTAGGACTTAATAAGGAACTTGACAAGTAGATCCCAGAGATCTTACAGAGAAGTAACGAACCTGAAATATGCCTAGAAAAAGTTTGAAAAAGATAAGTTGGGGAGACTTGTCCTTCCTACCAGATGTTAAGAGTTACATGAGGTCCTGAGTTCAAAAGATTTACAGTAAAGTTACTATAATTAAGATAGTTACTGGCTTCTGGATAGAAAAATGCACGAATGAAACAGAATATAGAGTTCAGAGATAGACCCATGTGTATGTGGAAATATGTATGATAGGGGACATTACAAATCAGCATGGAAACAACGGCTTAAAAATATGCTTTTTCAAACAGTTATAATAACAGAATAAAGTAAAATTAACTTTCTACCTCATACCATATGAAAATTAATTTCAGTGAATTAAATCCTAAGAGGAAGAAGTAAATCTTTAAAACTTTTAGATGTTAAAAATAGAATATGGCCAGGTACCAGTGGCTCATACTTGTAATCCTAGTTCTTGGGAAGGCAGAGATCAGGATGGTGGTTTTGAGGCTGCCCAGGCAAATAGTTTGAGAGATCCTGTTTTTGAAAATACCCAACACAGGGAGTGGGGGCAGGAGGGAGAAATGAACCAAGCCTTGTATATGCACATATGAATAATAAAAGAAAAAGGAAAAAAAAAAATTACATTTCACTACTACAAAAAAAAAAAAATGACCAACACAAAAAAGGGCAGCCAGCATGGAAACAACGGCTTAAAAATATGCTTTTTCAAACAGTTATAATAACAGAATAAAGTAAAATTAACTTTCTACCTCATACCATATGAAAATTAATTTCAGTGAATTAAATCCTAAGAGGAAGAAGTAAATCTTTAAAACTTTTAGATGTTAAAAATAGAATATGGCCAGGTACCAGTGGCTCATACTTGTAATCCTAGTTACTTGGGAGGCAGAGATCAGGATGGTGGTTTGAGGCTAGCCCAGGCAAATAGTTTGAGAGATCCTGTTTTGAAAATACCCAACACAGGGAGTGGGGGCAGGAGGGAGAAATGAACCAAGCCTTGTATGCACATATGAATAATAAAAGAAAAAGGAAAAAAAAAATTACATTTCCACTACCTACAAAAAAAAAAATACCCAACACAAAAAAGGGCAGCAGAGTGGCTCAAGTGGTAGAGCACCTGCCTAGCAAGCACAAAGCCCTGAGTTCAAACCCCAGTGCCACCAAAAAAAAAAAAAGTTAATTTTATAGATGCAAATTTATGTAAATGTAAATACAAAGTTTTTCAAGAATTTAGTAAGTTTTAGAATTTAGCATTATACTGATAGTATAGACTGCTGGGTGTGGTGGTATGAATCTATACTCCCAGTACTTGGGAGGCAGAGGCAGGAGGATCATATATTGGAAGCCAGTCTGTGATATTTAGTGGGACCCTGTCTCAAAAGAAAAAAAAAAAAATGGAAACTTAAAAATTTCAGTTTGATGGAATTGCATCTCCTTTCAGGTGAAAGAACTGAACCATTATCTGGAAGCTGAGAAGTCTTGTAGGACTGATCTAGAAATGTATGTAGCTGTTTTGAATACTCAGAAATCTGTTCTACAAGAAGATGCTGAGAAACTGCGGAAAGAATTGCATGAAGGTAAGTATACGTTGCATATATTTTTAATTTCCATCTCTAAGAGAACTGTGTAAGTAACATTGACATTGGCTTATTGACAGATCCTCAAACACCAATGCCAAATGTTAGTCATTCAGTTCAAACTCTAGTTGTTTTGCAAGTTCTTGTGAAAAGCTGAAGCTCTGAGGATGACGGCAGGGACTCGGGCTGTTAGTGCAGGAAACTAATACAGCTGGAAATTTCTGCTTGAACTGTTTTTGCCCTCCCAACCATTCAGATGGAAGTGGGTTAGCAAAAGTGAGAGTGGGATGGAGGAACAGTGTATTCTACAGGCCTATTCTTAAGGGACAATTTTGATTTCAGTAGTCTTATAGCATTGTGGTACACAGATTGTGTAGTTTCCAAAACAGTTACAAAAATTTTAAAATTATCAAATTTAGAGTAATAAATGTGCTGTTTTCTCAATATACTAATGAACAAGGTGTAGAAGTGGTTTAATAGCAACTGTAATTTTGGAGTAGTGATACACATAAATTATATAGGAAGATACCTACAGCAACTATAGTAAAATATGAAAATATTTGTGATTTCTCTTGGTGATTGAGTCAGATTTGTCCCTACATTTTACAATAGAAGGAAATGATAAATTTCAGCCAAAGGATAATGAAAATACAGATCTTAGCTTTTTTAAAAAAAATCTAATCTAAATATCTGGGCCCTTTGAAATCTTGTTGTTGTTGCAGGTCACGGGAATAACATATTTTAATATGCAGGATTTGGGCTATGATAGAGTCCTACAATGAATACTTCTTACGTATATCAAATGTGCAAAACAGAGCTATAAAATAATTTAGACTTGATTGTTAGTTTTTTCCCAAAGAGTGGAAAGCTGAAATGATATATGCCTACAGAATTGTCATAAAATGTGAAAATAACCCAAACTTTGAGTGAGTTTTTGACCTTCAGGAAACAGTTATCAAATGTGCTGTTGCAGTCAAAATGACACCTCTACTGTCACTGTGTATCCAAAAGAAACAGACTTTCTTTAAAGTTTAAACTTTGCATCCCAATTCTTCCAGAAATAGTGCAAGTCATGAAGATCACCAGATTTTCCTAATATAGCTGAGAGAAGTATTGAGAAGGTTATTAAAAGGAGGAAGGGCATGGAGTAATTTCTGCACTAAAACACTCAAACCAAAAAATAGTGCTTTTCGATGAAAGGATGGTGAATAAAAATTGAGCAGCAGTGTAACTTATAACCTAACTTGGGAGTGCTGAATAGTAACCACATTAATGCAACTGTCTGCTACGTCCTTGTGTTGGGAAGTGTCAGAGTGTGACATTGTGGCTGAGGAAGTGGCCAGTACTTTTTGTATTAGGAACAGATGGTTCTCTTAAAGTTAATCTTTCTCTCTCTTTTTTTTTTTAAATAACAACAACAAAACCTCCCCCACACTTTTTTTTTTTTTTGCAGGATCTCATTCTGTTGCCTATGCTTGTCTCAAACTCCCTGGCACACACATTCCTGCCTTAGCCTCCTAAGTAGCTGGGACTACAGACCTGTGCCATCATACCCCGCTGAAAGAAGTTATTCTTAAGTGGAGTTAGTTTATTGTTTTTTACTGTTGTGTTTTCTGAAGTCGAGTTTTAAGTGTTTTATGAAGTGGAGCTTTGAAAGATGGATAGGTACTTGTCAGGTAGAGAGGCACATGGCATACAGGGCATACAGTGGGTAAAATGTGATATGGGAGCAATGGACATAGGTTGGATCATGGAGGCTTTTTGCTAAAGACATTGGAAGGATTTTTTTGTTGTTTTAAATAGCAGCTTTATTGAGATACAATGTACATTCATCCTTTTAAAGTGTACAATTCAGTTTTTTTAAATATATTCACATAATTGTGCACCATCGACAATTATCTTAATTCCAAAACACTTTCACTACCTCAAAAAGGAATCATATGTTCATTTGCAGTCCCTCCACTCCCTTCTCTTTCCTCTCTAGCCCCTGGCAATCATAGCCTACTTTCTGTCTGTATGGATTTGCCTATTCTGGACTTCAACGTGAATGAGATTTTGTAATATGTGCCCTTTTGTGTCCGGCTTCTCTGAAGGATTTTAAATTGGAGAGTAATAATATCAATTTTGCATTTTAGAAAGTTCAATTTAATAGTAGTGTGAAGGATAGAAAAGAAAGTGCAAGACTGAGAGCAAGAAGAATAAAAAGTAACCACAGGGGCAGTTGTCTGAAGTCACAGGGGCAAGTCTAAGATAGAAGCCAGAAGATAGATGTGTCCTACTGCAAAGTAGACAGAACCAGTAGTTTTGTGTCATGGCTGCATGTGTTGGAATGAGGAACGGTCAGAAATCTCTTAAGGTTTCTGGCGTTAGTGACTGGGCAGATGGATGTGTATATGGTGCTACCTATTCTTTCTTCAGTGTAAGATGGCTGAGCTGATGGTATCAACAACACATACATTTTACAAACATTCCTTGACTTATCCTGAGAGGTCAAAACCAAATGGGACTAAAAAGGATTCCTAGATGACAGGTCAGAGTGCAGTAAACATAATTAGGAATGGTTTTATGCTCTAACCTTTATAACATTATTTTCCGAAATATATTCTCTTCACACTTGTTACTGGAATTGAACTGTTAAAATTTATTTTTTGTCAAATAAATTTGGGAAATACTGCATTATGTATCACCTTGCAAGAAAACAAAGACATAATTGAGACCTGGAGTTCAAAGCCCTGCAATAAAGAAATCTTAACATTTTATTTAACCCAGGATTTCTAAAATTTACTGAGCAAAGAAATCCTGTTTTCATATGTTCCAAGGAGCACACTTTGGGAGACTAAATTTGGAAATGGTGTAGAGATAGCTGTCACATTCAACTATGTAGATTGCCCCTTGGTGCCAGTCCAGGGCAGACTCCCAGACAGAATTGGCCAAACCTTGCCTAGTCACCCTATCCTAAAGAAATTGCCTACCATTAAAATTCAGTGTTTTTGATTGGGGGGTTTCCTGAACAGTTTGCCATCTCTTGGAGCAAGAGCGCCAACAACACAACCAGTTAAAACATACATGGCAGAAGGCTAATGACCAGTTTCTGGAATCTCAGCGTTTGCTAATGAGAGACATGCAGCGAATGGAGATTGTGCTAACTTCAGAACAGCTCCGACAAGTTGAAGAACTGAAGAAGAAAGATCAGGTGAATGGCAGTTTTGTAGGACTTTGTTTACATTGCTGATAATAGTACCCCTCCCCCAAAGATCGCATTGCCTATTACATGTGTTAGATTGACTTAAGCTGAAACAAAGTGATGTATGCCACTTTATTATTATTATTTAATTTGGTTATTAATTGATTGATTGCAATGCTGGGGATCAAACCCCAGGGTCTTGCTCATGCTAGGCAAGCACTCTACCCTTTGATTCATAGTCCCAGCCCCTAAATTTTGTTTGTTTGTTTGAATGTCAGTTTAAAAAATACAAGAGCTGCATTTGAAGGATTTTGTTTTGCAGCTTTACAAATGGCCTTGTCTGGGGGGAAAACTGATTTAGAAATGATCCTCTTTGGAGACTGTAGGATGCAACAGTGTGTATTTCTGAGAAAAATCTTTCTCCAGTTCTTTTCAGATTCCTGAGTTCTGTCAATCTAGATCAAGTTTTTTGGTGACCTTGCTCTAAAAGCCTGATTAGAAGGTGACAGGAGGGAGCTTGGTACTGTGGTGCAAACCCATAATCCCAGCATTGGGAGGCTGAGATGGATTGTGAGTTTGAGGCTAACCTAGGCTACATAGCAAGACCCTTGTGTCAAAAAACCAAAAACAAATTTTAAAAAAAAGAAGGAAAGAAGGTCAGGAACAATGGCTTGTGCCTGTAATTCCAACTTCTTGGGAGGCAGAGATTGAGAGGATTGTAGTTCCATATTGGCCTACGTCCCCCCCCACCCCTTCAAAAAAAGTTATTGAGACCCCCATCTCAATCCATAAGGTGAGCATGGTGGTATGCAACTGTAGTCCCAGCTTCCTGGAAGGCCATAATCTCCATGGTCTGAGGCTGGCCCTGGCAAAAAGTTGAGACCTTATCTGAAAAGTAACCAAAGCAAAAAAGAGCTAGGACTTGGTTCAAGTGGTAGAGTGTCTACCTAGCAAGTGCGAGGCCCTGAGTTAAAACCCTAGTACCCCCCCCTCAAAAAAAAAAAGGTGATAGGATGGTTACAGAGGCTGACTGATATGAAAAGATAAGTGTGAACTGGGGATGTGGCTCCAGAAATAGAGGCGCTTGCCTAGCATGTGTGAGGGCTTGGGTTCAATCCTGAGCACTACAGGAGGAAGAAAAAGAGAAAAAAGAAAAGACAAGTGTCCAGAGTTCGACATATCTAATATTCTGTTTCTTCTTATCTTTTAAAAAAAATTGCTTAAATTACATGAATAACAAGTGCATTTTTATGTTAAAACTTATTTGTTTAAAGTACAAAATGAAATATAAAATAATGGAGCTACCTTATTTTCCAGTTTGTTACGAGTCTTGTAGACAAGGTCTGTGTGTTTCTAAGCAAATATTTAGGGCCCCGTATATTACTTCTATCATACCATAAATATTTTAGATTTTATAACTTATTTTCCCATAAGCATTATCCAGGATATATTTTCATGTTCTGTCTCATTCTTGCTGCCTGATAGCATGGATGTACTATAAATGATTTAATCATTCTCTTTGTTGTGGGCACCTGGATTCCACATTTATTGTATATGTATGCAAATATTTCCCAGGATATGTAAAAGTGTTCACTGTTTTCTACATATTTTAAGAAATATTTTATTTACTTATTTGTTTATTGTTTATTGGTTGATTGTAGTGGAGTTTGAACTCAGGGCTTTGTACTTGCAAAAGCAGGTGCTCTACCTCCAGTACAAGAAATATTTTTATTTTAAATTTCCATGTGTGATTTTGGTTAAATTTTGTTTTGCAGAAGTTTCTTTTTCATCTTTTAATTCAGATTCATTCCTCTTGTGTGATGACACAGTCAGCCTAAGGATTTAGATGCTGAAGTACAGATCTTGTCATGCCTCTTTTGCTGTCCATTAAAACAGTCTAAACTTAACTAAGATGGTGTTGAAGGATTTTATTAATGTTCATAAGCTCTTATGATGTGCTAGCATTGTGCAAAGGCTTTATATATAAAGCTTTATCTCAAGCAGCTCTCAAAATGATGCAGATTAGGAAGCAGGCTTAGAGGTGATGGCAGCTCTGAGGCTTGAGCCACTCTCTCATTCAGATCTAAGCTTTCAGTCACCACCTCCATCTCTGTCCCTCACTCTCATGCACCTGCCCACTTTTCAGTCACATTGAATTATGCCAGCTCCTGCAGACCTCTGTATTTTGTACATGCTTAATTTTTCTCTGGAGCTATTCTCTGTCTCCTTTCATGCAGCTGCCAAACTCACCTTAGTAATTTTTCAAGCTCCAGTCAAAGTGTTAGCTCCGTTAGGTCCCCTTTGCTGGCTGCCTCAGATGAAGTCAGTCAGTGTTCCTCAGATGAAGTCAGTCAGTGTTTTCTCCTCCTGAAGAACCTTATAATTACTTATAAGTTTGTGTGCTTGTCCTTCCTCATTAGATTGTCTTTGGGGGAGCATAGAAGGTTACTTATTCATCTTTACTAAGTTAGTTATTACATTGCCTTTGCTCATTCCTTTTGTATTTTATATAAATTTGTACTTGCCTAATGGGTATATAATGTTGCAGTAGCATTTTCCTATTTTCTATAATAATCAGAAGGAAATACTCTATGTAAATTTTCTTTTTTGTATCATTTAAAAGGGGGAGGGAGTTAGTTTTGTTTTGCTTTGCATTCCTTTCATACAGTATGCATTCTTGAAAGTGGCTTCCTGATTTCTTTATAGCAAGCAGAGTTCTTATTTGGTGCTTCTTGTATTGAAATATTTTGTGATGACTAGAGACCCCTGTATGTGATTACAAAGCAAATAAACTCAAGTGTCCAGTTTTCTGTTAGTATAAAGCTCTATTCTTTCTGCAGTCAAATGCTCTACCCCTGAGCTATACCCCCATGCTTATCTATTCTTTCTTACTTGTTTTGAGTAGCTGGGTGTGGTAGTGCACATTGGTAATCCCAGCTACTCTAGAGGCCAAAGCCAGGGAATCTCAAATTCAAGGCCAGCCCAGGAAAAGTTATCAAAACCCTATCTCAAAAACAAAATAGAAAACAAAAAGGGCTGAGGGAATGGCTCAAGTAGTACAGCACGTGCCTAGAATGCTGGCCCTGGGTTCATTCCCTACTACCCCTCCCCACTCTCTCCCCACCGAAAAGAACTTTTGAATTACTTGGGTAAATTATATAATGTTTTTTTCTTCCTGGCTTTTAGGAGGAGGATGAACAACAAAGGCTTAATAAAAGAAAGGATCAGAAAAAAGCAGATGTTGAGGAAGAAGTAAAAATACCAGTAGTGTGTGCTTTAACTCAAGAAGAATCTTCAGCCCAGATATCAAATGACGAGGTATTGTGAATCTTTACTTAAAATTAGCAGGGGCTGGTAAATAAGCTTAGTGCTAGAGGACTTGCCTACCATGCACAAGGCCCTAGGTTTGATCCCTAATAGCATAAGAAAACAACAACAACAACACACATACACACACACACACACACACACACACACACACAAAACAAAACAAATTAAAAAAAAAAAACCCAAATGATTGTATAAGCTGGGTATGATGGCATGTGCCTATAATCTCAGCATTTGGGAGACAGAGGCTGGGAATGGTCTGAACCTAGGAGCTCCAGGGGTCTCACAGAAAAAAAAAAGAAAAAAAACAATTCTGTGCACACAACAACACCATTTTTATCTTACACATACATTGTTCCTATGGTAAGTGAAACATTGAAAATTAGATAAAATGGCAATATTTATGTTTGGTTGTTTTTATGGCATTATAGCACTATTTGAAACATACTGGAGTTTCATTCACCATCAAAATAATTAGATTTTTTTTCCCTAGTATTTCCAAAATTTAAGAATAAATCTTTAAATAATACCTCCATTTTCTTTCTTTCTTTTTTTTTTTGGCAGTACTGGGGTTTGAATTTGGGGCCTTGCACTTGCTAGGCAGGTGCTGTACCACTTGAACTGCATCCCTAGCCCCAATATCTTTTTTTTTTTTAATGTGAATAATAATACTTTGAGCTCTAGCATACTTTCTCTCCCACTCCTATCACCCTTTCATTTTTTGAGCTCTAGCATACACTCTCTCCCACTCCCACACCTCTCGCCTGTCTCTTTTTGAGACATGGTCTCAAGAGGGCCTAGCTCAATCTGGCCTCTAACTCATAATCCACCTGGCTCACCCTCCCTCCTGAGTGCTGGAATTACAGGCGTGCCTCATCACACCTGTCTCCTGTATTAAACCCTGAAAACAGAGAGTAAAGTTTGACAGATTGTGGTGAGGCCTATTAGGACATTGCAGGTATTGGGAAGAGGTAGTGTGGAGAGGCCCAGAGGTGGAACATATAAGGTTTTCTCATTCTCACCTGCACTGTGGCATGAGCCTCCTCACCATGTTTCTTGCCTTGAGCACCTCTCAGTCTCTTGTATCCTCAGCATTACTGTCAAATTCATTTCCTGAAGTGTAGCTGTAATCAGTCTGTTCCTCTACCTATACCATGGATTAGAAATTCCTCAGACTATTTATTTTTTTTTTGTATTTGAGGTACTGGGGCTTGAACTCAGGTCCTGCATCTTGAGCCACTCCACCAACCCTTTTTTGTGATGGGTTTTTTCAAAATAGGGTCTTGCAAACTATTTGCCCAGGCAGTCTTCGAACTGAGATCCTCCTGATCTCTGCCTCCTGAGTAGCTAGGATTACAGGCATGAGCCACTGGCTCCAGGCCGAAATTCCTTAGACTCTTGAGGCCCTTTGTAAGGATTCTGTTATAGCCACATTGGTCATTGTTTTGTGCCACCCTCTCTACCTCACATATTGGTTCCTTCATTTGGAATGCTTGTTTCCCTCTGCCTTTCTGAGTTTTGAAATCCTTCTACTCATCCTTCAAAGCCCTTGCTCCTCTTGAATGAAAAAAATGTTTCTCCTATAGCCTTTTAGGTAGGCTAAGGTCCTTAACTTGGCATATTAGGGCCTTCCCAGTTGAATTGTCCTTCTAGCCTTTCCTTTCCCACTCTCACTTCATCACAGCTGGACGTGTCTGCTTATTGTCTATGCTTATATGCCTTGTTTATACAGCTCAGCTGCTTAGAATTTCATATCCTGGGGCTTGGGGATGCTTAGCATGAGTGAAGCCCTAGGGATTTTTTTTTTTTTCCTTTTGATGGCACTGGGTTTGAACTCAGTGCTTAGCACTCTACTGCTTGAGCCATACCTCCAGTCCATTTTGCTCTGGTTATTTTGGAAATAAGGGTCTCATGAACTATTTGCTCCAGCAGGTCTTGAACCGAAATCCTCCTGATCTCAGCCTACCAAGTAGCTATGATTACAGGCGTGAACTACTAGCACCCAGTGAAGCCGGTTCGATCCCCGACACCACAAAAAAGAAAAAAAAATCATACACACTTCCCCAACTCCCACCTACTTTCCCAGCCTGGAGAACAACTTTTAGTGAAATTGAATAAAAGCCTTTCTTTCACAGATACCACATTTCTGCTCAGTTCGCAGGTTTACTCTTCATTTTAATCACAACAAATTTCCCTTTCCTGTTTTCCTGCTTTCCAAACATTCCTGAATAAATGGCTGCATGATGTAAAAATCATGTAATATTTGGCTGTACCCAATCTCCTGGGAGTCTAACTATTAAAAAAATACATAACAGAATTAGGTCAAGTGGTCTGCAGTGTATGTTCTAAAACAAAAAATGTACAAAAACAACTACATCATAGTTTTCAGTGTCAGGGTTTTTAAAAAACTTTTTAAATGTCAAATTACCCACAAATATGAAAACATAAGCAATGAGGAGCTAGCAGAGGATAGCAAGGACATCTTTGCCTTTGAATGGAAGGACCACCCAACAGTATTGGTGGACAGTCCTTCCACAAAGTTTCACTGATTCTCCCATCTTGTTTGGCCAAATTTTGGAATGAGTACCGAAAGAATTTGCCGCCCCCTCCAATAAGTTTTTTGGTGATCTTCTGTTGTCCAGACTTACTGAAAAAAAGGTGACTGATGTCACAATCTTCTAAGATTGACTGGGCCACCAAGGACTAAGAGTCTCAAAAACTAAATTGTACTTTGTAGAGGAAGAGGTAAGAAATCTGGGATACTTAATCAGTAAAGGGAAACACAGACTGAGCCCTGAGGGGATAGAGGCTATTACTAGCATGCCTCTGCCTCTAGCCAAGAGGGAGCTTCAAAAATTCTTAGGATTGATCGGGTATTGTAGGCTTTGGGTAGAATCCCATCCTCTTAAAACCAAAACATTATATTCCAAACTGTAGAAGAGGAGCCTGATCCTTAGTCTGGAAACTAGAGGAAATTCTGATAATAAAAATTCTCAAAACAGTCTCTGGTCACTGCCCCTGTGTTGGCCTTACCCTCTCTGGAGAAACCTTTCATCTCTGTTAGTGTCGATAAAGAAACAGCCTTGGGAGTCCTCACTCAGAAATGTGGAGGAAAGAAACAGCCTACAGCTTATTTGTCCAAAATTCTTGATCCTGTCACACGAGGATGGCTGGAATGCTTCCAAGCAGCAGTGGCCACAGCTCTGTTGACTGAAGAAAGCAGGAAGCTGACTTCTGGTGGATCTCTAATGGTCAGCATGCCCTACTAGGTCAGGGTCATTCTTCAGCAGAAGGTGGGAAGATGGTTAACTGACTCTAGGATTTTGAAATACGAAGTTATCCTACTGGAAAGGGATGATCTGACTCTGATTGCTGAGAGTTATCTCAATCTGCCTGAGGTTTTATTAAGAGGAAAGACACAGGATCCCAAGGAACACCGTTACTTAAATATCATTGATACCAGACCAAAGTTAGACCAGATCTCAGAGAGTCTCGCTTTCTGGATGGATACAGATTGTAGATGGTGCCTCTAAAAATGATCCAGGAGAAAAGACACAATGGGTATTCAGTAGTGGGTGGAGAAGAATTAAAGGTTATTGAATCAGGAAGATTACCTAACAACTGGTTGGCCCAGACCTGTGTGTTGTTTGCACTGAATCAGGCCCTGAAATATCTAAAGGATAAGGAAGGAACCATCTGTACAGATTCCGAGTACGCATTTGGGGTACTACACACTTTTGGGACGATATGGGCAGAAAGGGAACTAATTAACAGTAGAGGGCAGAATCTAATACACAGGAATTGATTGTTAAACTGCTAGAGAGTCTCATGCTTCCGGAAGAAATTGCAATAGTCCATGTCCCAGGACATCAACAGGATAACTCTCTGGAGGCTCAGGGAATCAGTTTGGGTTATAAGACTGTGAAAGAGGCTACCCTCCATCTGGAACTCTGAATGTTACATCTCACCCCCGTTATCCAGGCAACTTTCGTGAACCCTGTTTTCACTCCCTTGGAAAGGATCCAACTAGAGAAGTTGAGTGCTACCCCAAGAGGGAAATGGCTTCTCCCAGATGGGAGAAGTAATTTCTAAGCCCCGTATGAGGGAAATAATGACTCAGTTACACTGGGGAAGTTAATGGGGAATCCAAGCCATGTGTGATGCTATTCTCAGGGCTTACGTATGTCAAGGAATTTATACCTTGACAAAGCAGGTTATTGAGAGTTGTTTAACTTGTAGAAAAGTTAACAAGCATACTCTGAGAGGACAACTTCTGGGGGAAAGAAGTCCAGGACTAAAGTCCTTTCAGAGTATTCAGTTGGATTATACAGAGTTACCTTGGGTGGGCCGTCTAAAATATTTACTAGTTATAGTAAACCATCTAACCAGTTGGGTTGAGGCTATGCCTCTATTGAGTGCCACTGCAAAAAGAGTAGTTAAAGTACTTTTGGATAACATAACTCCTTGATTTGGACTTGTTGAAAATATAGATTCAGATAATGGGAGTCACTTCACAGCCAATATAATTAATTAATATAATTAAGGAATTAACAAAGGCATTAAGCCTCAAATGGGAATATCATACCCCATCTCACCCTTCTCCTTAAGAAGAGTTGAAAGGATGAACCAGACCTTAAAAAAGATAATTAACCAAATTAGTTCTTGAGACCATGCTACCCTGGACTAAGTGCCTACTCCTTGCCCTGCTCAGGGTCGGAACAGATTCCCAAAGGGATATAGGAGTTTCTCCTTATGAGATGTTATATGGGTTACCTTAGGCCGGCCCTCTGGCCTTCCCTTCTTTGAAACCAAAGACCACCAGTTCCTTCGAAACTGCGTACTTGGTCTCTCCTCAGTCTTGTTATCCCTGAGCATCTGTATCAGGGTGCAGTGAAGGCCAATCTTTTAAAGAGGTAGCCAATAAAACTGCTCTAGCTGTTGCCAGGGCCGATGTATGGTGGTATTGTGGTGGGCCTTTACTTGGGGTTCTTCCAGTCAAATGGAGTGGGACTTGTACTTTAGTCCAATTGGCTATCCCTTCACCTTGGCATTTTGAAACCCCAAGCCATCTCTGAGTAAGAGGAAACAATGCCCTGGAGGGGCATTCGACTCATGTTTTTTTATAGATCCATTGGGGTCCCACAAGGAGTTCCCAAAATTCAAAGCAAGAAGTCAAATAGCTGCTGGCTTTAAATTGGCATTGTTTTGGTGGTCTACTATCAATAATAATGTAAACTGGATTAATTACATCTATTATAACCAACAGAGGTTCATTAACTACACTCAAGATACAATAAAGGGAATTGCAGAAGAGTTAGGCCCCACTAGTAAAATGGCATGGGAAAACTAAATGGCTCTAGGCATGATTCTAGCAGAGAAAGGGGGGTTATGTGTCTTAATTGGAGGTGAATATTGTACATACATCTTAACAATACAGTCCCAGATGGAACTATAACCAAGGCTTTCCAGGGCTTAACAGCCCTGTCAAATGAACTAGTAAAAATATTCAGGAATAAATGACCCGTTCACTAGCTGTTTAGAACAGTGGCTTGGAAAATGGAAGGGAGTAATGGCCTCAATTCTAACATCCCTCATTGTTGTAAACAGGGCCCTCACCTTAATTGGGTGCTGTATTATTCCCTGTGTACGAGGATTGACAATTTGGTTCATAGAAGTTGCTCTAGGTAAACAAATTCCTGTGTCATGCCAGCTGTTTTTAAGCACAGCTGAAATAAAAAGTCAATTAATGTTAAGTGAGTTTAAAGAATATGAAATAAAGAGAGGGAAATTGTGGAAAAAATAGTCTTTTCTATTAAAGTGTGTGTCCCCATTTAATTGCCTGTATTTCTGGTTTCTTTTTCTGGATTCCTGCTGAGCCCCCTTTGCTGGTGAAAATTGCCCACTACACTGTGAATCTTAACATCTCCCCCAAGTAGGTATAGAATTTCAGGTCAGGAGGCAGGTTAATTACGTCAGAAATATAACACGGTATGGACTGCCCGCTCCACTTTGTGCTGGTTTTGCCCACGTGCATGCTAGCACCCTTCTGGGCAGAAGTAAAGTTTTGCTTTGCTGAGATGATTCTTTTTTCCCATGTCTTCAATTGGAATATTCATTTCTAACAATATGTTTCTATTTGTACTTTTAAACTATATTCCAGTTGTAGCTACATGATGCTTTATGTACATTCCCCATACCTATTAAACCCACTTTAAATGTTTTATCAAAGAATGATATTTAATGCCTGACAGCATGGAGAGGTTGGTGCCATTAGAACATTTTAATGTTATACTTTTTTTCTTTGTAGTGTTAGGGATTGAATTTAAGGCCTAGTAGGTACTGGACAAGTGCTACCTTACTGAGCTGCATCCCCTACTCATGATTCCCCCTTGCAGGGTTACATGGGGAAGCATGAAGCTAGTCTGGAGGTAGAAGGAGCGAGGGGAGAGCATGGACCACAATGTTGTTGTGGTTTCTTTGGGAAAAGCAAGTCCGAGCAGGGGGAGCAGCTTAGGATTGACTAGTTGGAATAGTTCTGGCAGTCTTTGGGAAAGAGGGACTCTCTTTAGTTATTTGGTACCTACCTGTTCCTGGGATGATTTAGGGCAGGGGAAATAGTGGCTTGGTGTATAAGCTAGATAAAGGAGGTGGTTGGAGGTATGGCTTCAAGATTGGTTGTTTTACACATGAAAGGCACATTCATGGGCAGGTGAGTTAGTATCACTAGGCTTCATCTAGCTTTGGTAGGCATAGTCACTCTCTACCCTGAAAGGCCTCCAAGATGCTAAAACATCATTTAGTCTAGAAATTAAAAAAACATAGGTGGGGATGTAACTCAGTGGTAGAGCACTTGGCTGGCATGCTTAAGTCTCTGGGTTCTGTCCCCAGCACCACAAAACAAAACAAAGCATTATGAAAGTAGATTATCACATTAGTTCTGCTTTTTACTACTATAAAATTTTTCATTAAATAGTGGTATAAAGCTGCTATATTTTTCCTTGTTAAAAAAAACACTACGGAGATACCTGATTATTTTCTTAGTATAAGTTTTTAGGAAAAGAACTGCCAAATTCAAGGGTGTAAACATTTTTAAGATATTAAGACATATTGTTGAATCATATTTCAGAAAGAACACGTAACAATTTACTCCTCCCCTGGAAGTATATGTTTGTCCCACTGTTACCAAGATGGTAGTATGGTATCTTTAAAATGGTCTTCTCAATCTTTCTCCCTTTGTCCTCTGCCATCTTCTGTGTCCAGTAGCACTACATGGAATACCAGTTGGTTTTGTTCTTTGTTTTATTTATTTATTTTTATTGTTGTAAAGTAACAGAATGGAATCTTATTCCAGTTTTTTATGAGATTATCTATTTGGGACCTTTGCCATCATTAGCATATAGATTAGGTTTATGTTCTCAGCTAAAGATGTCAACATTTGTGTGTGTGTGTGTGTGTGTGATGCTGGAGGTTGAACCCAGTGCCTTGCTTGTGAGGCTGGCATTCTGCCATTTGAGTCATGCCCCAGACCTCAACTGCTTATTATACCAAGTAAGAATATTTTAAAAGCATTTAAAACAAAGCCCCAAGAACTGTATTCTACAATCTCCTTTAGTGGCCCCATAAAAGAAAGGGCATTTAACAACAAAAAGTAGAATATTATCTTAGAGTACTCATTTAAACTGGATAAATATAGTTTTAAGAAAAACTTATCAATCTTTCCTTGTTTTTGTTCTGTTTGTTTTTTGGTGGCACTGGGGTTTGAACTCAGGGTCTCATGCTTGCTAGGCAGGCACTCTACCACTTGAACCACTCCGCCAGTCCTTTTCCTTGTTTTTCTTAATTCTCCAGTAGCTATGCAATAGTGGTACTACTGGTCTGGGTTTTTTCTTTTGGTAATATCTTGTACCCCATTTGTCTTAAAAATTAAGATGAAATTCATACAGTATAAATTTAGCAGTTTAGAGTTTACAGTTTAGTGGCATTCAGTATGCATACAGTGTTATACAACCACCACTTTTGTCTGGTTTGAAAACATTTTCTTCACCCCCAAAGAAGAGTCCTATACCCAGTTAAAGTGTCACTTCCCTCCTCTCCTGTCCTTTGGCAGTAACTGAGTGCTTTATGTCTTTATGGATTTATCTATTCTGAACAGTTTTTATAGATAGAATCGTGTACTATTGTGACCTGCTTCTGGCTTCTTTCATTCAGTGTCTTACATTTAACGTGTTGGTTATAATTTGCTTAAGATTTGATTCCAGAATACCATGCTCTCTTCCTTTCCTTTCTCCTACTCTGGCTACTTCTTCCTCTGCCCATCCTCTGAATGTTGGTGTTTCTCACTCACATTGACCTTCCTCTCTGTATCCTACACACTCATTTTAGGTGATTTGCTGCTCTTCCTTTAGTTACCTTTATACAATGGTTACTCTGAAGTCTCTATCTAAACACTCCATGTCCTTCTGTCAGGTGGATGTCTCTACTTTGTGTATTCAGCAGGCACCTCACGCTAAACCTACTCAACACTGAATTACAGATGACCTGTTCCAACTCCTCATGTCTAGGTTTAATTCCTCTCTTTGGGCTCCCAAAACATGCAGTTTATAGCTCTAGCCTATCATTTTATTAAATGTACTATTATAACAGCTTGTTTATTTGTTTATCTTTTTCATGAAACTGTGTATCTTGAGGTCAGTTTGCTTCTTGTTCACATATGCATCCTGTGTACCTGGTTTAGTGCCCAGCATGTAGAAGACAATCAATAAATGTTCAATGGTTATGTGAAGGCAGTTATTAATGATTATCATGTGTAACATGTAGCAAAATACATGTAATATGTGGTAGTTTTTCTCTTTGTAGATAAAGAGAATTGCCTAACTTAGCAATATATGTATTTTCACATTTCAGGAGCATTTAGACAGCACCCATGGTTCAGTGCATTCCTTAGATGCAGACTTATTGTTACCATCTGGAGATCCATTCAGTAAAACGGACAATGACATGTTTAAAGATGGACTCAGGAGAGCACAGTCTACAGATAGCTTGGGAACCTCGGGCTCATTGCAATCCAAAGCTTTAGGCTATAACTACAAAGCAAAATCTGCTGGAAACCTGGATGAGTCGGAATTTGGACCACTTGTGGGAGCAGATTCAGTGTCTGAGAACTTTGATACGGCATCCCTTGGGTCACTACAGATGCCAAGTGGGTTTATGTTAACCAAAGATCAGGAAAGAGCAATCAAGGCAATGACACCAGAACAAGAAGAGACGGCATCTCTCCTTTCCAGTGTCACCCAGGGTATGGAGAGTGCATATGTGTCCCCCAGTGGTTACCGCTTAGTCAGTGAGACAGAATGGAACCTCCTGCAGAAAGAGGTGAGTTATTTTGGGCTTCTTCCACTCTCACACTAGGTAGGTCTGGGGTTCATTATTCATTCAGTAGATAGTCTGTGGAGTCCATGAAGGCACATGTTTCCAAGAAGTAAGTGTTAACACATACTATCTACCCCCTTGTTACATATAGTTTGCTTTGTCTCTTCCATGTGATTATGTCAGAGAAGGAAGCCTCTCCACCTGAAGTCACACTGAAGTTGGAGCAATTTAGATCGGCCCAAATTTGCATTGTTTGTAGTGTTCTAAAAGCTCAGTGTATTCCAGGATTCACACTCATTCATCTTTCCTTTACAGTTGTGAAATGCAAATGCTTATCAGCAATTGCTGCAGAGAGTGGGTTTAAGAGAGGGTGGAAAATACAGGAGACAAGGTAACCTTTAATGAGGGTAATTTTCCTTCTCAGAGTATGTGCAAACTCAGAAGATTAGGAGATAAGAACTTAAAATATGTATTTGCATAATGCTTTAGAGATTACAAAGCCCTTGTACAGACCTCATCTCTTTGACCTTTATGGCCACAATGAGGCAATTAGGGCATGATTATTCCCAGTTTACAGATAAGGAAACTGGCTCAGAACATCAAACATTGCTCAAGTGTTCCTCATACCTGGTAGCAAAGTCTGGGTTAGCATCCAGCTTTTCTGATTTCCAGTGCTTTTCCCTCACTCAGGGCTACTCTTTAAAGAAGCATTTTGTCAGTAAGTGGAGCAGCCTATTAAGCCTCAAAGAGGCTGTTCTACTTTCTCTCATGCAAAAAGTATAGAAGAAGGTGCTATTTAATAGTTTCATGCCTATTGTATAATTGGAGTTAGTAAATGCTGAATTGACACTGCTTTTGCTGTTTCCCTTCTCACTGGTTAGGTAATATTGATTTAAATTGTGAGTGACATGGTGTAGCACCTTTTTGCTGGCTTTGTGTTTTCGTCAAATGCAGTATTTTTGCTGAGTTTGTGTTTTCCTTAAATGTGATGTTTTGTGACCCTTGTTTCCTATCACCACTTGTACTGGACATTATAACTTTTTAGAATCTGATCCTGTATTCTAACTTCTTTCCATAAGTCCCTGGAGAAATTGTTCATTTCATGCTACACATTGAGTAACATTGGTAAGATTATGCATGTGTTCCTCAAGTGTGTGATGTAGAATTATTTTGTTCTGCCTGATAAGAGGTAATTTTGGTGCCTTTCAGGTACATAATGCTGGAAATAAACTTGGTAGACGCTGTGATATGTGTTCCAATTATGAAAAACAGCTACAAGGAATTCAGATTCAGGAGGCTGAAACAAGAGACCAGGTGAGTTTCATTAGGATTTGCCAAATTGGTGAGCTGTTGTAATTTTCAGTGGAGATGCAGAATTGTCTTCTCCTCCCATTTGCCTTATGAAGCATATCTGTCTGTTAAATTATGAAATAATCTGGCAGCTACATTTCCAGTGGGAACCAAGGGGACTTGCCTTGTGTTCCCGTGCTTCATTAATATGCTGGTACCACACGGGTCCTTTCAGTTCCCAGAGGACTGCTGCCTCACTTCTTCCTACCCTTTCTACCCAGAGCCTCAACATGATGTCATCGTGACCTCATCCACATGGAAAGTACTTTCTGATAAAGAGATTAGGGAGATAAGATACTGACTATTGCCTCTGACAGAATAAAAACTTAACTGAATGTCATACTAATCAGAATTTGGAGTCTTCATTGCTTATTATCTACTTGTCATAAACCTGTTGAATTGATTAATCTTAGTTTACAAGGTCACAGAAATTGAGCTTTGATAGATTTTGTATGCTAAGATTGACAAATCTTAAGTACTTTCCTGAATACGGTGTTGAATAATAGGTACATTGGTAATATTTAGAAAGTAATGTAGATTCTCATAAGACTGGACTTGAGAAAGCATATGGTAGGAAAAGATCATTTTTTTCCTTCTGTTTCCCAATTATGCTTTGGTTGTTTTGAAGATTAGTGCCTTAGTCTTCAAAAGAACTTTAAGTAGGTTAGAATAATCCTCTAATACTTTCAAATGTAATCGACACTGAGTTCCTCCATATCTACAGTTTTTATACATAGTTTAAAGGTAAATTTCTAAAGTTACTTGCAAAACTAATATAGTTGGCTTCTGATTAGTGTGGCGGGAAAACAGACAGACTATCTTGAATTCATTAGTCATTTCCATAGACTTTTACTCATGCCTTATCTGTGCCTGGCATTTTGCTAGGTCCTAGCAGTTCAGATATAGCTAGAGGACAGTTATTGCCCATAGGAGCTTTCATTATTGCAAACCATAACATCAGTTGAATCTAGTTTGTTCCTAAAGATGTACACTTGGAACTACAGGAGAGCATCCAGCTAAACTGTGGACTCAGAAAAGGCAATACTTGAGCTAAGTTTATTTTAGAGCCTGGATACAAAGGCTCTTTAGGAAAGTTTGGTTAGGAAAAGAAATGGGGAAGAAGAAAGGGTGTTCAAAGAGGGAAAATATACAAAAGAATCAAGTTATGAAAGAGAATGATGTGTTCTAAGAAGTGTGACTAGTTCATGTGGCTGGGTCAGGGGTGTGGAGAGGGGAGTGAGTTGTAAAAAAAACAGAAGGGGAAGTTACAAAGACCAGGAGACTGAGGATGGGTGATAGTTGGAGGGGTTTAAATTTAACTCTGATGACTTTGAGAAGCATTTGGGGCTCTAAGGTAGGAAAATTATTATAGTCATTTTTTTTAAAGCAGCACTGGGGTTTGAACTCAGGGCCTCATGTTTGCTAGGCAGGCACTCTACTACTTCACCCACTCCACCAGCCCAGTATATTCACTTTTGTAACAGCTATGGTGTTCATGTGGATTGTAGACCAGAAGCAGAGGATAAAAAAGAGCTAGGGAGGCCATACTACAACATAGAGGCCCAATAGAGAAGCAGTGTTCAAATGAGATCATGTATGTGAAAAATGATTTGCTAGCTGTAAAGCTCCTCACAGTTGTCTTAAAGTCATTCATCTCATTCCTTTCTGAACTGACAAATCTAATATTTTTTTGAAAAGTTTTAAAAAGATTCTGGTGTTGTTTTTTACTTTTTAATTTATAAAAGAATTCTGAACTGGGATGCTCAGTGGTAGGGCGCTTGCCTAGCATGTAGGAGGCCCTAGGTTTAATCCTCAGTGGTAACACACACACACACACACTCTCTCTCTCTCTCTCTCTCTCTCTCTCTACTTCTTCCTTCTAATTGACTTTTAAAATTATATAGGTGAAAAAACTACAGGTGATGCTAAGGCAAGCTAATGACCAGCTAGAGAAGACCATGAAAGATAAACAAGAGCTAGAAGACTTCATCAAGCAGAGTGCTGAGAACTCTAGTCATCAGGTAAATGTGAGTTTAATATGACCTATAAGGGATGACTAGGAGTTTAAGTTAAATTTAAAAGTTCAAAAAATATAGTCATGTTTTTTTTTTTGCCCTGAAGATTTGGCAGTTTTATTTTCTCTTAAGTAAAAAGCTCTCTTACTGATCTTTCTGTGCTACTTGTTTTATAGTTGTAAAAAGTTGTTTTTGAAATATTTAGTGAGTAACAGGGTGCTCTCGTTCTCCTCACCTGTTTTATTTTTATTGGTTATGTTTTTCTGGTATGCAGGAAACTCACTGGCAAGAAACATAAGCATTATTTTCTTTAAACAATTTTGAAGCATAAAATATACAGAAAAACCCGAACATACACAGCTATACCAGACATACCAGACCTAACATCTGTATAACCACCATTGAAATCAAGCACAAGAATGGTAGCCAATATCCTAGACCACCTTGCTTTTCCCCACCACTCAACCTTCTCCCCAGAAGTGACCACTGTTGTAACACAGAACTTCATACAAAATGGAATCATACAGTATGTTTGTAGCCTTTTGTTTCTAGTCTATTTGATTATTACTATGTTTCTGAAACTCATCTGTATTGTTCCGTGTATTTTTTTTTTTTGGTACTGAGATTTGAACTAAGGGCTTCACACTTGCTAGGCAGGTGCTCTACCACTTGATTAACAGTTATTTTTAATGTTCAAATATCCTCTTAAAGCCAAACTACAGTTGAGAAATTTTGTTGTTTCTAGCTTGTGACTGTGGTAAGAGTTCTGTGAACATTCTTGTGTATGCCTTTTGGTACACATGTGAACTCATTTCTCTTGAAGATATCTAGGAATTGTGAGTAAAATGATGAGGTTGTTGTATAGGTTTATTTTAGCCCTGCTAAATATTTCCATTGGACATTATTTCTTCAAATATGTATACGCATTAGATATCATTGCATCTATGTGCCTTTTCTGTATTTTCCATCATTTTATCCCTTATTTTCTTCAAATCTGTCTTTTTATCTTACTCTTTTTTTTTCAAATGGATCTTATGTATGAACTTATCCATTAAATTTTTAATTTAGGTGATTGATTTTTTTCAGTTCATTACTTCTTTTTTTTTTTTTGTGATACTAGGGTTCAAACTCAGGGCTTTGCACTTGCTGAGCAGACATTTGAGCCACGCCCTCAGCCCCATTTAGTTATTCTTCATTATTTCTAGTTCTTTGCTGATTCCAAATTTTGTCTTTTAACCTTTGGATAGGTCAGGTATCTAATAACTCTCATCTGGAGTCATCATAGACCTGTTTGTATTGCCTATATATTTCCTTGTGTATTTGTATTTGAGGCTGCACATTGTGTGTAAAAGAATAATGGAAATAATATAAAGCCTAGGATAGTGGTATTTTCCTTATGAGAGGCAGGCAACTACTGGTACATACAATTGTGAATCACTTTAATCCAGTTACAGGGATTGAGGTCATATAAAGTTATGAAGGGTGGATTACTTAAAATTGTTCCCTTCCCTGAGGGTATGGCCCTTTGGTGACCCAACCCAAAGTACAGTATGTTTACCCATGGTTCCTTAGCTTGGTGGGTCCACAGCTCTTCAATTTTGCCACCCTGTTCTGGGCTCTCAAATGGCCTGCTCAGCCTCTCACTGTTACATCTCTTTCTCTTGAATTAGCAGGTACTTCTAGGGGGCTATTTCAGATGCTGTGTTCCATTTTCCACATGTTCTCAGCCTGGTCTGTGGCTCTCCACATCCTTTCTGCTGTGTTAGTTCTTCAATGCCTTTAAGGAGATATATTTTTATACAGCTTTTCTAATTCTCAGTAGGTTGGTTAACAGCAAATAATCTATGATTAGAAGCAGAAGAGTGAAGGGGGGTAAATATGATCAAAGTACTTCATGTGTATGTATTAAAAACAGAATATTGAGCTGGGGGCTGGTGGTTCACACCTGTAACCTAGCTTCTCAGGAAGCAGAGATCAGGAGGATTGCAGTTTGAAGCCAGTTTGCAAGACCCTATCTTGAAAAAACCCACCACAAAATAAAGGGCTGGTGGAGTAGCTCAAGTGGTAGAGTAGTTGCCTGGGAAGTATGAGGTTCTGAGTTCAAAACCCAGTCCCCCCCCCCCGCCCCGGACACACACAAATAGAATAATGAAACCTGTTAAAATTGTTTTAAAATTGGGGAGTGGGACAATAAGGAAGAGTAATGGGTAAATTGATCTAAGTACATTATAGCACAATGAAATCTCTGTACAATTAATACATGCTAATAAAAATTAAAAAGGAGAATGCTAACTCTTCATTTAAAAATATCTAGACAGAATTATTTCTGTTTATAATTTTTATGTGTGAGTCATCAGTTTTTAAATAATCCCCTCCTGAGGAACATTAAAACTAGCTAAAAGGAGCTTGGAGCTCAGTGAGGTTAATGGTTTATGGTTTGCCTTTCAGTACCCATCTTAGTTGTAACCAGTTCACATTTATCCTTTGTCCTTTCAAATGTGTACTTAAAGTGGATAGGGTCCTAATTTTTTTATTGATTTTTTTTTTTTTAAGTCCCTTAAACTGGGTTCTTGTCTGTCTAGACACCAAATGGTGTGTTGGTATATTGTAGCACTGGCTTTAGGCTTTGGTAATGCTTTGGGTTACCTGAAAGGTTGATGCTTGGCACACAGCAACTGTGCACCTATCTGTTGAACGAGAGACAAGTGGGTCCTGTGGACTAGTAAAACATCACTTCTGGACATGGAGTAATGAGATGGCAGGGTTAGTTTTAGAATGATTAACTTGCTAACTGTATTTTCCATGTATGCGTTTTTGATAAGATCTCTACACTTGTCCTGAGAGCCCAAGCATCTGAGGTCTTACTTGAAGAATTACAACAAGGCTTTTCCCAAGCAAAGAGAGATGTTCAAGAGCAGATGGTGAGTCTACTTCTTAAAATACATATTACATATTTATTCTTTTTTGTTCTGTCTTGAAATTATCTTTTGATGTGACTTTATCACCCTGTTCAAAGTGGTTACTGTTGTTACATTTTCCAGGGCTTATAGAACATTAGTGGTGGACAAAATACTATAGACATTGTTCCTTTTTTATCTGACCTCCTGCCCCCCTACCCAAACAAACAAAAAAATCTCATCTTTAACTAATTTATTTCTTTTGGGAAACCTGAACAGGATAAACTGTGGACCAACATTTAATATTCAGTTCAAAATACAAGCTCTCAAGAGAGCTAGCTGGCTCAGCTTTTAAATAGTCAGTGTGCTTTTCCTAGACAGCTCGTTTGCTTAGAATAACCTCATTAATTTCTCCTTGTAGACAGAGGGCCTTTCCAGAAGTTCTCAGTCTGAGAGAGGTGGAGGCAGGGAGCTTCCTGAACAAAGACTGGCAGGGGCCTCTGCAAACTGGTTTCTAGGTGTAGGCCTCCCTCCTCACTAGTTCGTCTGCATTAACCTTCATCCTTTTTCTCAGAGTTGGAGCCCTGCATCCAACTGATGGTCCTGGGTAAATTACAGGAGAATTATTCCTGCTGGGATGACCATGCAGTGCTACCTCTGACCCAGTTGTTTCAGGGTTACAGCTCTAAGACAAAGCAAGCTTCAGGTGGAGTGGCCAGGGTCTGTTTTGATAGGAATGGCCTTTGAACTGATCTGTTGGAAAGCCTCCCTTCCTGATCTTCCACCAGAAAGTTCACATTGTTTCTCTAAGTAGAGAACAAGAAATAATAAAATGCTGACAAAGATGGTGGAGGTGTTCCCTTGTATCTTTTTTCCTCTTGTTGTCTTTAAAAACCCATCTGCCTTTGCAAACACTTTTCAAGTTGATTCTACTTAAAATCAATGTGTTGCAGGAAATATTGCAGAATTGTTTGAATTTAAGGTTGACTGAGGTCTTGTGAAATCTAAGACTTTATTATTTTGTCAAAATTACTAAGAAAGGTTTTTAAGTTGAGAAGGAGAAACTCAAATGTGTTAGGCCTCTGCAGAAGAATGACTGTGATAGGGGTTGGGAATGTTCACATTTTCCCCTAGCTTAATTATTTTGAAGATTTTCACTCTTGCAGAGAAGTTTATGAAATCAACTTTTTTTTTCATTTTATGAACTGTTTTATTTCACTTAGCCATAGTCTCTTCACAGTTAAGCCATAATACATCATGTGTCAGAATTTCCTTCCTTTTTAAAGCTGACTAACATTCCATTGCAGGTGTAGGACATGTTTTCTATATCCATTCATTTGCTGCTGAAGGCATTTGGCTTGCTTCCAGCTCTTAACTGTTGTGAATAGAACCTCTGCTTGGATTCTGCTGTTGCTTTGCCACATTAGTGCACTTTGTCCCATGTGTCGCCATGGAGTATATTATGTGTCTGTACCTGTGTTTTGAACTATTTGGATTAATTGTAGCTATCATGACACTCAATATCTTAATATGTATCTGCCCAAAACAAACATACTGTTCCGTATGACCGCAGTGCATTTATTACCTCCTTGAAATTTAACCAATTGTCCCAAAACTTCCTGCTATCTTTTAGTGGTGGTTATAATTTTTATTTTTTGACTGAGGAACCAACCTGCATTTGTTGTGTTGCTTTAGTCTCCTTTAAACAACAGAATCACCACCTTTATTTTTTTTAAGAGACAGTTTTGCTATGTAGCCCAGGCTGGTGTTGAACTCTTGATCCTCTTGCCACAGCCTCTCTAGTGCTGGGATTACAGGTATGTACCTCCATGTCCAGCTCCATCAACTTTTTTAAAAAATATTACAAAGTGTTTTTTTCTTTGTGATACTGGGCTTTGAATTTAGGGCTTCAACTGCTTGAGCCACACCTTCAATCTTTTTTGCTTTAGTTATTTTGGAGATAGGGTCTTAGTGTTTGCATAGGCTGACCAGGACCGCGACCCTCAGGACTGCAATCCTCCTGTATTAGGCTTCCAGCTGTTGCTTAGATTTTTTTCTGTTGATATGGGGTCTTGCAAATTTTTTACGTGGGCTGTCCTGGAACTGCAGTCCTCTTGATCTCAGCATCCTGTGTAGCTTGGGATGATAGTTTTTTACCATTGTGCCCAGCTATTGCTTGAGATGGGGGTCTTTCAAACTCCTTGCCTGGGCTGGCCTTAAACCACGGTCCTCCTGATCTCAGCCTCCTTAGTAGCTAGGATTATAAATAGTTAGGATTATAAACATTAACCACCTGGCTGACATTTTTTTTAGTAATTGGGGATTAAACCCAGGGCCTTGTGCTTGCTAGGCAAGTGCTCTACCACTTAAGCTACTCCACCAGGCCTTTTGTCTTAACTTCTTTTTTCTTTCCTTTTTTTTTTTTTGGTGCTGAGGTTTGAGCTCGGGCTACACCTTGACCACTCCACCAGCCCTTTTTTGTGATGGGGTTTTTCAAGATAGGGTCTTGCGAACTGTTTGCGTAGGCTTGCTTCAAACTGGAATCCTCCTGAGTAGCTAGGATTTCAGGCATGAGCCACTGGTGCCTGGCTTTAAGGTCTTTTTTTAAAATCAACTTTATTGAGAGTAAATTCATATACCCCAACAATTTAACCTTTTAAGCTCTCTTCTCCTTTCTTTCTCTCTCTCTCTCTCTCTCTCTCTCTCTCTCTCTCTCTCTCTCTCTCGTCTCTCTATTCCTCATGGTCGGTAAATAAGCAACTGTAGAGTTTAGTTACCAAATAAATGCTGAAAGAATGAGTAATTGACATTTATGCATATGTACTATTACAGCTCATGACTTAATATTAAAAATGAGCAGAAATAAAATACTTCATAGAATTTTAGGTTGTGGGCAAATTAGGTAGAGTAACTTACATGGATATATGTTAATATGAAATACCTAAAATTGTTTTACTCACAGCAAGTAGAAGAAATAGGAGCATGCCTCAGTTTAAGACAAAGACGCTGCCTTTTTGCTTCTCCACACTCCTGCTGGATGCATGCCATGAGGACATCTTGTAGTTGATGTTCTATTTGGTATAGAGTTGGTGGCCACTTCCATTGTAGACCAGGGGCCAGGGGTAGATTCTTGTTTTTGAGCCCTTAGTAGAAATAGTGGAGAATGGGCTGGGGATGTAGCTCAGTGATTAAATGTTTGCCTAGCATGCACAAGGCCCTAGGTTCAATCCCTAGTACCACCAAAAAAAAAAAAAAGAAAGAAATAGTGGAGCTTGGCTTCACAGGCTTGCCTCATGCCTATTGTTGAATATATATAAAGACTGCAAATCACAAAGTTCTGAGACTCTCTGCTACAAATCTTGCAGAACTGTTTTATGCACAAAATGTCTTTTTGTCTGACCTTGTTTTTCTCTGGCCTAGCTGTCACCAGACTTGATTTACCTTTCTGGCCGTGATTAGCATGTTTCTCTTCCAGGCAGTGCTGATGCAGTCCCGGGAACAGGTTTCAGAAGAGCTTGTGAGACTACAGAAAGACAATGACAGCCTCCAGGGGAAGCACAGCTTGCATGTGTCATTGCAGCAAGCAGAAGACTTCGTCCTCCCAGACACGATGGAGGTACTGTATTTCCCACATGATCAAAAAATGTGAAGTAGGGCTGGCAGAGTGATTCAGGTGGTAGTGCCTACCTAGCAAGTGTGAGGCCCTGAGTTCAAACCGCAGTATCACCAAAAAAAAAAAAAAAAAGTAAACTAGTTTAGTACAGTTTTTTAAATGGCTTTAAGTTACTTATTTATTTATGGCAGTATTGGGGTTTGAACTCAGGTCCTACACCTTGAGTCACTCCACCAGCTCTTTTTTGTGATGGGTTTTTTCAAGATTTTGGCTCGCAAACTCTTTGCCCAGGTTGGCTTTGAATCACAATCTTCCTGACCTTTGCCTCCTGAGTAGCTAGGATTACAGGCATGAGCCACCAGTACCCTGCTTTTAAATCAACTTTATTGAAATTAAATTCATATACCCTAACAATTAAACCTTTTAAGCGTAAAATCTAGTGTATTTTAGAATCATTACATATAAATGCAGCCACCACCACAGTCAATTTTAAAACTTTATTTTTGTTTTTGAGACTTACTCTGTAGGCCAGGCTGGCCTTGAATTTTGGATCCTCCTACCTTAGCCTCCAAAGTGCTGGTTTTACACGTGTGCAGCACCATGCCCAGCAGCAGTAGAACACTGTCATCACCTTGAAAAGAAACCTCTTATCCTTAACCTTCACCAACTGTTAATCAACCTTCTCTCTGTAGAGATTTCCCTGTGCTGGACTTTCATGTGAATGGAACTATACAATATGTGGTCTTTTGTTTCTGGCTTCTTTCACTTAGCGTGTCTTCAAGATTTGTCCATGTTTTAGCAAGTATTAGCACTTCGTTCCTTTTCATGGCTGAATAATAGTCCACAGAGTGGATATTTTGTTTATTCATCTGTTGATAGATATTTGAGTCGTTTCTACTGTGTGGATGTGTGGAATAATGTGGGTATAAAGACCCATGGGCAGGATTTAGTGTGGACAGACTTGTATAGTGGAATTGATAACTTTGTGGTAAATTGTTGTGGAACCATTAAGCTGTTTTCCAAAGCTGTGGCCCAGCGCCGCTTTACCGTCCCACGAGCAGTGTCTAAGGGCTCAGATTTTGCCATATCCTTGCCAACACTTTGTATTTCACTTTTGATTTGTACCATCCTGCCAAGTTTGAAGTGGTTTCTCATTGTGGATGGCAAAGTCCGAGGTCTGAAGTTCTTTGTGTGGGAGCAAGCAGAGAGCTTTTCAGGAGGTCAGTGTTTATGGGAGCACAGCTGGCTCTCCGTGGTAACTGTCTTGCTTCCGTCACACCCACCATCTTTCTGTCTGCAAAGATGGTATTCTTGGTATTTACATTCTTCTGTGGTTGGATGAATCTGGCTTTCATAATTGTCTCTCTTAACTTTATCCAGCTTCTGGGAACATGCATTTCTAAATCTTTCAACATGTAAAAAATATCTTCTTAAGCTAAGCCCAAATAAACCATACAGACTGCATAGGCAAAGATGAGATTTCTTAGAGCAATTTTTTTTTTTTTTTTTTTGGTGGTACTGGTGTTTGAACTCAGGGCTTCACACTTGGTAGGCAGGTGCTCTACAATGAGCTATTCTGCCAGTGCCCTTAGAGCAATTTTTAAAATGCCGTAGACAAATGTTATTTATAAGGTGCTTTTAGTTTTTTCAAGTGTAATTGTTAAAAATTATTTTAAAATCAACTATTACATAAATTTGTAATTTCTTAAGTTTCCCCTAATCCTACCCTACAGGTTCAATCTCTATAATTTGGGTCTCATTCTTTTTTCCTATATACATATTAAATTATTTAAAAATTTTTATTTGATCACTCATAGGCCTCAATTGTTTACCTTGCCATTTGCTCCATGCTCCTCTCCCCTACCCTGGTCTAGCTCTTGTTCCTGCACTCTTAAGCAAGCCTTTTTTCCCTTCACCACTTGAGAAGAAAGAATGGGAACCTGTGTGCTTTTGCTATCTGCTTTAAATCACTGTTCTACTCCCTTCCACTTCTGTTAGACTTTTCTCTTTTGGCAGGAACGCGTCTTGTGTTTTATGTTCTCTAGAGACTATTCCTATATTTTTAATAGTTATCTAAGCCAAGTGTGGTGGTACATGCCTGTAATCCCAGCTGAGGTACAAGTATTAAGAGTTTGAGGACCCACTAGGTAGGTAGGTAGGTAGATAGATACATAAATAGATAAAAGTATATAAGTAAATATATACAGTGATCTGAGAATGTGAGTTTTTACTTGAGGATTGCTTTAGGATATAATTAGAAGGCTTTCTAAGAGAAGACAAGACTAAAATTTAAGGGAAAATAAGAGTAAAACTGTGAATTTATTATAGAAAAGTAGTTAATCACCTTCTTTGCCATTAATTACCTCTGGTCTGACATAGTATTTTGCCTATAATAGATGCTCAATAAGTTTCTGAATGTATGAACAGGTAATTAAATACACTTTATCTTCTTAAGAGTTCACATTTCCTCCTAAATGCGTCTAATTTGTCTTCATGTAAGCTTTTATTTGTAGTGAATCTCATATTGTAAGTAACATTTTAATCTTTCTGCCTATGAAACCATTTTGAGGGAAAGTATGTAGTTCACAACACATTTTAAGCCAGAATTGTCTTACTTTTGAAATGTACTGAATGATGACATGGCATGTGCCTTTGAAATCTGTATTGATTAAAGCTGAGAGTTATAATTTTTGAACCATTTGGAGCAGCACGTGAAATTCTGGTTGTGTAAAATTTAGTGTCTTGATAGGCACAGTGGTTCAAGCCTGTCATCTTAGCTACATGGGAGGATGAAATTGGGAGGACCATGGCTTGAGGCCAGCCTGGACATCTCCAGAATAACCAGAGCAACATAGTCTAGAGGAGTGGCTCAAGTGATAGAGCACCTGCTTTGTAAGCATGAATCCCAGTGTTCAAAACCCAGTGCCACTGAAGAAAATCTAGTTTCTTTCACGCTCTCAAATCTAGTAACTATTTGTTTCTTGAATCCAGATGCTCCAGGAGCTGGTACTAAAATATCGTGAGAACATCATTCATGTGCGGACAGCAGCAGATCACATGGAAGAGAAGCTGAAGGCTGAAATACTGTTCCTGAAAGAGCAAATTCAAGCAGAACAGTGTTTAAAAGAAAACCTTGAAGAAACTCTGCAGCTAGAAATAGAAAACTGCAAGGAGGAAATAGGTGGGGATAGAAGTGATGCAGTTTAGAATTGAAGTAGTGAATACAACGTTTTTGATTGTGAGAAGCAATATCTGGTCCTGGATGTGGGGGTGGAGGAGTGGCTCACGTGATAGAGGTTCTGCCTAACAAGCACAAGGTCCTGAGCTCGGACTAGAGGTGGGCTCAGGTGGTAGAGTGCCTGCTTTGCAAGTGTGAAGCTCTGAGTTCAAACCCCAGTCCCACCCAAAAAAAAAAAAACCCAAAAAACAAAAAAAACAAGGTCCTGAGCTCAAAACCTCCACAATTCTTAGAATATGGTCATGGATATGGAAAACAGAAAAGTATAGCAAAGAATTAAGTAAAGACTTACCTGTTTTTCCAAATGATCTGATGACGTAACCAGGAGAAAAAACCCAAAACACTTCACAGTCCTGTTAGGAGGTCTGGTGATCTCTCTTTGACAATTGCTGACAGAAAGGAATTGCTGGAGCACATGATTACATGGTGGCACCTCCTCTCACAGCTTCGTTGTAACAACTAGGAGCATCTTTCCCCTGACGGAGCTAAATGTGTATACTTGATGTATAAGTCGTTCATGGCTATAGAGGCTATTTGCATGGACTTTGCCCTTATCTGAGCTTGGTTATGATGCTGGTTTGTTGGGGATACTTTTGAGAAAGGGCCCTTCCCCCCATGTTCACTGTATGTTTGAATCCTTTGGGGATATTTTAAGAAAAAAATTTAATGCAAAATAATAAGTGATTGCTAATATTTTTCCCTACCCCCTTTTCTCCCTAGCTTCCATTTCTAGTCTAAAAGCTGAATTAGAAAGAATAAAAGTAGAAAAAGGACAGGTGAGTCATAAGTTTAAAATTAATTCTATCAGCAACCACTGGTTATTTATTGACTCCTGCTGTGCCAAGAAATAAGACAGCTGAGGCACAGTCCCTGCCTTTAAGGAACTTCTGTCTAGTGGTGATACAGTGGGGGTGATTATAGAGGACATTTTTGTAGCGCCTGCTGTATGTCAGGCCATATGGTGATGGGGGTGGGGGTGTGAGAGAGTGGGGTTAGGGGCAACACAGGGAAGATGAACATGTGACTATAGCATGGAGTTTCCAGTTTAGTGGGGAACAGGCAACACATGGTCATGACATGAAATGTGCTTAAGTCTGCAGTACAAATACCTACAGGAATTTGTACAAACAGTGCCTGGTGTTTCCTAGCTGGCTTTGTCTTCTTGAAGACAGCATCAACAGTGTGATAGATGACCTTATTCCACTTCCTGGACTCACTGTTCCCAACTCAGAGACCTCTGCCTTGTGCTGTCCTGCTTCCCATGCTCCTGGCTGCATACTGCCCTCTGATGCCTCACTCCAACCTCCGTCTGTGACCCGTGTGTCCTTCCAGCTCTCACTCCTTCAGGCCTTCTCTCTGTGTGTCTGGGAAACCGCTCTCAGCAACTTTCTTGTGACTTCGTGTTCTTTCCTTCTAAGCTGCATCCTACAGAGCTCGCCTCTTCAGCTGGTCTCCCTCCAACACTCTCAAATCCCCAGACTCCTTGGTTTCTGCTGCCTTCATTAGACTATTTCCCAACCTTGGATTAGGCTTGGTGTCCCAGGTTGCTCATGCCACCAGAATTGGTGGCACTTTGTGCTTCTGCTCTCAGATGGTTCCCCGGACTTCCAATCAGCCTTTCATCTGTCCTGAGGTATCACTTCCTCTTCTGCCAGTCACCATCACCTCAACCCTATCTCGATCCATTCATCAGATGAAACTGCCTGCAGCTCTAGGCTCATTTTATTCCCAGCCTGCTTTTTTTTTTTCATTGAGAGAAAATGATGAACTGTTACACCATAGTTTGTCATTGTGTAGGTATTTTGACTGAATTCCTCCCATCTTTTCTAGTATCCCCTCTAATCCCCAGCTTTGAACTTTTCCCTCTTTATTGATCTTCCCCATTATGTACAGATATGCTCAGTTGTCTCATTAGGAGGGAAAAAGTAACCCAGATACAGTAGTACACATCTGTAATCCCAGCACTTGGGAGACTGAGGCAAGAGGATCACAAGTTCAAGGCCCGCCTGAGCTGCATAGCAAGCCCCTGCCTCAAAAATGGGAGGGCGGAGGGGGCGCTGTTTTCTCTCTCACTCGTTAGAATGAGTTTTCTCTCTCGCTTTTGGTTATTACTGAACCTAAGTGGGGGTGACTAGAGATTCAGAAAAGACACAGGATAGACAGAAAGAGAGTGGGATCAGGTGTGTTGGACGCCCAACCCTCATTGCTTCTTTTCTCTGTCTTTATTCTTTAAGGCCTTACTCCTTTACAGTTCTTTAAAACCTTGCTTCTAAAGTCTTCTTTAAAACCTTGCGTAAAACCTCTTTCCTTAGAATCACACTGTCCCAGGTTTTCTCTGAGCTGCTTCTTAGCTTAATCACTCTTATTAAAGTCTTTTTCCCCAGGCGTGCACTGTCCCATTTCTCTTTAGCTCTTTTACAGCCTCAGTGCTTAGACTTGCAAACAGCCATGCCTAAAAACTGCATATGCATAACTCTTAAGGTCTTGGTCTTTTATTTTGCACTGTAAAGTTCTTTCTTTGGCTTTTCTTTAGCCTAGCTTTTCTAAGGCCTATGTATAAAGTTCTTCTTTTTAAAGTTATTGGTGCAGACTTTCTATCAATCCCCTCTTTAGCCATTCTTTTCCCTTCAGCAATTTCCCTTTAACAATTCTTTTTCCTTCAGTAATTCTTTTCCCTTCCAAAAGCTTCCCACACCCAAAAGCTCAAAGCCAAAGGCAAAAGCCCAAAGTAAAAGCCAAAGGCAGAAAACCCAAAAAGCCAAAGGCAAAAAGCCCCTCTTCCTCCTTCAGGAGTCTTTTATAAATAGCTGTAAACAGGGTGGAGCAGTGGCTCTTGGGGAGGGGCGTGACATTGTAACGGGAGAAACCTGCATTTCTGCTTCTCTGAATGTAAACAAAACAACTTAGGAGACCCAGCTATTCTGCTTTTCCCTTTTTGTGGCTGGGGTTGTGCCCATCTCGGCCTATAGGTAAAAACACTTAAGCTGCATCTTGCCTTGCTTACATCCAGTTCTCATAGGCTTTTCATAATCCGCTGTCCACAGGAGGGGTTCTCTTTGGTCTGTACTTGTCTCTCAAGCCACCAATGTTCTTGAAAGTGTGCTGTGCCCAGGCACTACTCTCCCACTGAAATTGGCCTCTGCTTCCACTCTACTGTAGAGATTACACTGCAAAGATGACCAGTGCTCAGGGAGTGCAGCTCAGAGGTAGAGCACCTGTCTAGCATGAGCATCATCACCAGCACTGCAAAAAGAAGAAAAATGACCATTGCTCAAGGGGTGCCTTATCCTTCCCTCCACCACCACTGTTTGGGTTGACTTCACTTCTCATCTGGCCTAGTGTAGCAGCCTGACTTGTTTCCCTGACTCTAAAATTTAGCCTCTTCGAATTCATCTCTATATTGAAACCAGGTGGTCTTTGAAAATTATAAACCAATCTTTTAGAAAACCCTCCAGTGGTTGATTCCCTTTATCTAAAGAAGCAGGTCTGCAGTTCTTAGTGCAGAAATCTCTTGCCTCACATGCCTGCCTGCCCAACTTCAGCTTCCATAACCCCAACATTCTTGCACACAAGCAGAACTTAACCACTGTTGGCACTGGAGGTGGTGGTGAATGCCTGTAATCCCAGCTACTCAGGAGGCAGAGATAGGAGGATCCCGGTTCTAGGCCTACCCCAGGCAAAAATACAAGACTCCAAAAATAGCTAAAGGAAAACAAGGGCTGGGGTTGTGTCTCAGAGTGGTAGAGCCCCTGCTCAGCAGTTGCAAGGCCTTGAGTTCAATACCAGTAGGACAAAAATAACACCCCCACCCCCGAACAACAACAACAAAAACACTTCATCAATGTCCCAAATGCATTCTTAGGCGTGTTATCCATTCCTTCTTTTTAAAATATCTCTACCTTCTCCCTCTTACCATTCTTTTCCTTCCCCCTTTAAATTTTCCGAGAAGAAACACTTCCCAACTTTTCTGGCATAGTCAAATGTTTCTTCCTCTGTGTTCATGCCGTAATTATTTACGTGTCTGTCTGTTCTGGTTTCTCCATCTCTGGGCCTTAGAATTAAAATATAGTAGGTACCTAATAAATGGTCAAGGAAAGATGAGATCTGAAAGAACAAAATGGAACCCACACATTAAAGAGTGAGAAGAGCATTCCAAACATAGCAAGTGCAAGGCCTTATATACCAGGGTGATCTCCAGGCTGCAGCCCACAGAGGAGTTCCAACTTTCTTCTTTTTAATTTCACAGTTGGAATCCACATTAAGAGAAAAGTCTCAACAGCTTGAGAGTCTCCAGGAGATAAAGGTCAATTTGGAAGAACAGTTAAAGAAGGAGACTGCTGCTAAGGTGATATTTTTTGTTGGTCATTTAATAAAAAGGAAAAAAAAAAAAAAAAAAAGCAAGGCTAAGAATGTAGGATTTCATCTTACCTGTTTAAAAACCAAAACAAAACCAACATTGCTGCTTTGAAGAGTCACCTTCTTAAAGTTGGTATGACAAACAGCTTGCAAAACTAAAATGAGTTGAGCTAGAGTTGTGTTAATTGCCACTCTGCAAGCTCTGGAGGCCTGTATCACAGGCCTTATTGGCCATTGAACCAAGCTTGGGCAATGCTCAGTTAGAAACACTGCTTTGAAAATGTCATTTCATTTCTCTGATATGTCAAATCAGAGATTTGCATTGAACCAGATTTACTGATTATTTTAATTAGTCCAATTAGAATAAAAGTGCACGTGGCTAATTGTGGAGGCAGTTGCCTCAAAAGGGTTTTAGTAAACTGTGTGGCCACACCTTTAAGTGCACAAAGGCTGCTGCAGCCGCTGGTTTTTAGAAAGGCTTCCCACATCCCAGGGAAGTGTTTTATTGTTGGGAAGGTTGGAGATAGTTGGGGTTGCATGGGGTGTATTTACTGAGAATTTTCCTGACTGATGCTTGACTGCAGTTGTCAGAGGAAATCCCCAAAGTTTCTTTCTGTTCCTAATGTACTACTGATTGCAGCTGTAATCACTGTTTTTGTGATTAATCACTGTCATCAGCTGCTGGGTTGGGCTGCAGCACTTCAACCTACTTCTTATTCTGGCTTTCATACCCACTTCAATTTAGGACTTACAGAGCACGTAGTCTAGCTAGCCTGTCCTCTTGCCCCAGAGATTGAGATTAGCGGACATGGGAGTATGATGACACCCACTTTTCTGTTCTAGGAGTGGATAGCTAAAGTAATTCGTAAGTAATTTTAGGAACTCTGGCTCTTTGGCATTAATACTCAAAACTTGTATTTTTTAGGTTACTATTGAACAACTAATGTTTGAAGAGAAGAACAAAGCTCAGAGATTACAGACAGAATTAGATGTCAGTGAACAAGTCCAGAGGGATTTTGTGAAGCTCTCTCAGACTCTTCAGGTGAGGCACTTGGGGAATGCTATAACCCTTGGGGAGAGAACCATCCTATCTTGAGCAGGGATGTGACTAGAGGTCTGGTAACTGGGGCTGCCCCTACCTCCACCCCAAGCATCTGTCTAGTCATTAAAGCCAGGAACCTGGTCTGTTCTGCAGACTCGGCTGCTTTCTCTTCCTCTGAACCTTTCCAATTTTGACTCCATAATTTACATTTTATGTTCAGTTTTTAAACTACCCACAGTGTGGTATTCCCTTTGGTAAGTATTCTTGTGTCCTCTGACTCCTTTCCTTTAGGGCCCAGTTTAGGTTCGTCACCTCCGTGGAGCTGGGACTCCCTCCTCCCTCCACCATGCTCCCTTGGCACTCTGTGAATGCCCAATTACACTTACTAGGCTGTACTACAACTCTGTCAGCTTGTTTCTTCCCAACTGAAGTGTGGCTTTTTGAGGGTTAGGACTCAGGTCTCACTAATCTCTGTAATCACAGCAAATGCTTACACCTCACTATCTTTCTGTTACATGGCAGTTTGAGGGAATTGTTTTTTTTTTTTGTCCTTATTGCCTCCCTTCTTTGAAGTGACTGCTCTGGTTAGTTAAATCTGTGCATCTCAGCTAATCCAGAGTGGAGGAAATGTAGGTAGAGGCTACCTGCACTTATCTCACCATTGTTTCTCCAGGTGCAGTTAGAGCGGATCCGGCAAGCCGACTCCTTGGAGAGAATTCGGGCAATTCTGAATGACACCAAACTGACAGACATTAACCAGCTCCCTGAGACATGACACTCTGATGCAGGATTCTAGCCTACACTTTGGGTTTTTAACTCATCTTTAGAGCAACATAATTATTTAACTCTTAACTGAAGCAGAATCACAACAAAAGGAAGACTGGAGAAGTGCTCATGTCTAGTGGGAGAAGACTGCAGCACAGGAACAGCCAATAGACCTTTCCAGCAGGAACACTAACAGAACTCCAGACTTGATTCCAGCAGGTGTGCAGTCCGATGTGGTGATGGCTGTTTCCTTGCCTACTTCCCCAACATGGATTTTTGGAACACGTTTCCCTATCCTAAAGCAACTTCCCAATAGTGTTTGAAATTACATTTTCTGTTCATAGATTATGGGGAGAGAAGTGTCTTTTTCTGTTGACTAGAGCCCATCAGTAGCAGTGTTCAGCTAGCAGACAGAGGTGTAGTGTGCTGTATGAATATTTTATATTAAAATATGAAGTGAGAGCAGGCCATTGGCTGTTGACTGTGTTTCCCTTGCTCAGTGCATTTTCTTTCTTTTTACCATTTTATCTTATATTGGAGGACCTTAAATGCTACTGAAACTTGATTGAGAACCGTAAGACTGGCGAACAAAACCAATTCAAGAACAGAACTAGGATTTGAAAACTTGGCTGAGGCCATATATATTGGAAGTTGAACTTAAAGGAAAAGCACAAGAAACTCTTTGCACTTTTTCTGCATACCTGAATGATCTTCATGGGCCTACAGGTACCAGGGTAAAGTTGAACTGGCACCATCTATTCTTTTGAAGTGTTCTAGTTATTGGATCAGTGGGAAAAAACAAAACAAAACTATGTCTCACAACATCTAGTAAATATTTATAAATCTGCTTATTTTCAGCTTTAATCAATGGGTGTGAGATTTGTTTAAAAAATGTCACAGACATGATGGTAATGAAGCTGGACAGATACTTTGCGTTTTTCTTTTATGTAATTTAGACCTGGAGTGTGACAGTGCTTTATGCTGAAGTTGGGAGGAACTGTCCAGTATGATGATCAGTTTGGAAATCTGCTTTGTCATTTTCTAAGAGGTGAGATGCCTTTCCTGTGTGAAGAAAGCCTCAGTGGGACAGGCTACCTGTGCCACAGCTTTATGAGTGAGTCATGTTCACTACTTACCTGCTTAGTACCATCCCAAGTAGCCAGTGGAAGGCAGGCTGTGCTGTTTAGTTCATTACATAGATGGTTCAGAAGTTGCTTTCAAGTAATTTTTGCAATTGTGTTGCATAACAGCCAGTACCCAAAGGAACCTTATGGGAATTAGTGAATTTACAGCCACCATCAACTTAAAAGTGGACTATTATAAATGAAGTCATTATGAATTTGCCCTAAAGATCTTTACTTTCTTCCATAGAACAGATGCTAAGGACTGTATTACCTCATCCTATGTATTATTTTTATAGTCTTGCATTCATGATTATGATAAAAAAGTAAATACTAATTAATTATGGAAATAGTACTAATGGCTTGCCATGCATGAACATTTTAATTAGTTTGAAATCCTTTTGTATTGTGTTACTTGGTTTAAAGGGAACATCCTCCCTGAGTTAAAGAGGATTTTATTAAAAATTATATAGATTTAAGACTAGTCCCTTAAATAGGCTCAAACTAATTTGTTCCAGATTAAAATTAGCAATGTCAATCATGATGGGTAATTCATAACCTTTCTGAACTATCACTCCCAGTGAATGTTCTGCTGAGATTGAGTACTTTTCAGATACTGTTCTTCAGAAGATGGGTCCTGGAGCAATAAAATCCTCATAATTAGGGAACTGTTTATGATCTGTACTATGACAGACGCAAACTATTTCTGGAGTCCACTCAATTGAGAAAAATACCTTAGAAAAACCCAAACAGAAACCCTTGGTTTTAATAACCTATTTCTGGTAATGAAAAACAAACTGGGGCACTGTCCAGGAAGGAGCAATTCTTTAAACTGAGTTTTCTACATAAACGGGGTTTAGAAAGTGGGATTTATCTCTGCCGCGAACACCAAAGTTCATCCAAAAGATAGTTGGGCTTCCAGTGTTCCTGTGCTTCTGTTCAGTCTGTATACACCTGTTCTCGCGCATGTCTAACCTGATTCACCTCTGTAACATGCCATGTGGCTTTTAATTGGCAGTCACTCAGCCATTTCCAGGCAGGCATGGTATTACCTTTCAGAACTCATACTGGCAGGTATAAAAAGATCTAAAGCTGAGAATAAACCCACATACTGCATACCAAGCTGTTTTCTTTCCCCCTTCAAGGTGCTAAAACTTGCACCTCAAACTCACAGTAGACATAGAGCACAGCGAAACTCAGCTCTGAAAGGTAATAGTGCCTGTGAGGAAGTGAGCCCGCAGTGGCCCTTGCAATACTGTAGGTGTAACCATTTGTTAACTGTACCGAAGGCGTGTGTCCTTAGGAAAGTGTTCAAATTAAAAGAGCTGCTGTCAAGTAGACTGTGTGGCCTTTTCCTTTGCATTCTGGGGTTCTGACCCCTCAGTCACATTTCCAGTGCTGCAACTTTAAAATGCAGCTCTTACTCTTGCTCACATATAGAGAAAGCACAACAGGGTATGGAGATCTGGAAGTGTGCAGTTGAAACCTGTGTCTCAGTATTTTTGTTTTTTTTAATAACCCTGGGCCCTTGCTGAATACAAACATAGACTTTAGTTATAAAGCAATTCAGATTTTTAAATATAGTCATTTATTCAATAATTATAAAACAAATACTAAAAATGATGAACAAGCACACCAAAGTTCTTCCAGAATGCCTCTTTATAAGACAGTGCTACCCACTTGCTTTACAATGAGTTTAAGCCTTCAGTTGTGTTAACTTCAGCTGTGAATCTGTTTCTGGTGGTGTTAGAAGTTCACATGATTTCGGATATCATTGATTTGCTTCACCATTTCCCTTATGTGTTCACCCCTGTAAAATCATAAAGTTACTTTAAAAAATGAATAAGCCATTATTAAAAATGAATGAATAAGCTATTAGTACAGTCTGAAGAATTTAAACTAGTAAAGCTGAAGTAGTTAAGAATTGCTCTGCTAAAATGAACAGCTTAAGGTTACAGGTGGGTAACAGTGGTGTTCACTGTTCACCTAAGGTGGCAAACACAGTGGTTCAACTGCTGGAATCTGTTTTGTGGTGCTGCAGATGGAACCCAGGGCATCATGCATGCAAGGCAAGTGCTCTACCTTCCCCTCCCTTCACTAGGAAATACTTGGACCATATGGCAAAATCATATTATAGGAAACCCATTTTCCATCCTCCCACCACAGTTATTTCTTAAGTCCCTGTCTAGACATCCTGTGACTCCACTTCTAGTAATTATTGACATGCAAATGCCAAGACAGGATTTTTATCTGAGAAGTTGACTTTGTAGTACTGGAAAGGAAAAACCTTCTCTCATTAACAGCTGACTGGAAATTTACTTACTCCTCTTTCAGGATGGACTGAATGCACTTCCGCTGGTAGGCACTGAGTGTAATGGTGGGTTTTTGAGGACTAAGCACCTTTTCCATCTTTCGCTGCTGATAGTCTTTTTTCATGGTAACCTAAAATATCAGAACATAGATATTTTGGCTATGGTTTGCCACATATTTTCATAGTATCCATTTTAGTATGTTCTTTTTACATTTGTAAATTATTTTTTATACAAGTGCTTTTTTTAAAAGACTGAATTTAGCCAGGCTGGTGGCTCATACCTATAATCCGCTACTCAGGAGACAGAGATCAGGAGGATCACAATCACAGTTTGAAGCCAGCCTGAGCAAATAGTTCACGAGACCCTATCTTGAAAATACCCAATACAAGAAAGGGTGGGAGTGGCTTCAAGTGGTAGGCACTTGCCTAGCAAGCATGAGGCCCTGAGTTCAAATCTCAGAGCTGCCAAAAAATAAATAAAAATGAAAAAGACTGAATTTAGCTACTTTACATCCATTCCTACCTGTTTGATGGCATTGCCCAAATGTCGAAGTTGATCAGGTATCAGCTGTAATTCTTTCTTCATGTCTCTCTCACTATCAGAGAGAACTGGGAGTTGAGAGTGAAAACTGTGAAGTACTTTTTTCATCCTTTAGGAAAGGAAACAAACACATCAGTTCAAGATTTCTACTAATCAGGAAAAACACACAAACTCCTAATTCATGAATCTGGTTTCTGGGAAGGAGGCCCCTATAGGATGGGTTGGGGAATACTGTCATGTGTCCCCAGACATGTGCTTCAGAGGTGAGATGGGGGGTCCTACTTGAGTAGGAAACTGAAATGTTACATGGCCCACTGACCTGTTCATGATATCTTCTTGTTTTTCCTTGGCTTCCTCATATTTGTCAGCTAAACGCTCAGCCATTTCCCGTAGACTTTTCCTGATGGAGTAAGAGACAAACTCTTGGGTCCACCTTGATGTTGGAGCCAACTGATACGGCACAGCATGCTAAAGTGAGATGCAGTTCCACTCTTACTATTTTCTTCTCCCTACTTTTGACACTTACCTCTCTTCTCGACAATAATTGAGATCTTCCAGTTGTTTCTTTTTTTGGTCACATAATAATTTGACCCTTCAAGGAGAAAAAGTAACGTTTAAACAAAAGCCAGGTCCAGGCTGTTGTGCTGCACCAGCTACCACCCAGAGACTAATGGTTGGTAAACGTAGGCCATCATACCTCCGCTGAATCTCTTCCTTTGCCAGGTCCTGCTTAAGAATGTACTGTTCTCTGAACACCTGGGTGGCTCTGCTGATGAGCTGAAGACATTCTTCAGGAGGAGGAGCCAAGTCTTTTTCAGATGATCTTAAAAACAAAGTTTGTATCATTTTTCTTAACTGAGCAAAACAACTGAAAACAGACCAGTCGGAATTGCTTTATTCCCTTCTTTTTTGCACTTTTGAAGATGCTTGTTAGCTGGTTAGATAAGGCCTGTGTCTCTTCTAATTCTACCACAGTAAAACATTATGAAACAGTTGAGGACAGAAAAGAACAGGACAGGAATATAGAAAAGATAACCCATTCTTAAAACTTCATATGTCTGAGAACCCATACTTCAAAAATGCTGGATTGGCGGCACTACGTTGCAAAATGCTTCTAATGTGCTTTTCAAAGGAATCCGGTGCTTCAGCCAGAATACGGAGGGGAGATTCTGCCACTTCAGCATCTTCTCGGGTACACAGCAGGGGAGGAGATGCCGGATGTACTGTACTTCTGCAAAAAAGGTAAGTCAGTCAAAATCTACTATGGAGTTATTTATTGTATTTTAGGAAACCAAACCACATTTATCAAGAACTTTGAGAACATAGGAAATTAAGAGGTGTTACCTTTTTGTAAAAGTACAAGAATGCATGTTTCCCAAGGTCACTTTGGGAAGCAGTACCCTTACTCTACCTATGCTGTGATCTGTCAAAGCATTTTGCTACTTAATTGTTTTTGAAAAGATAAAGGTGGCACAAAAAGATAAATCCATCACGGATCTGTTTTTGTAAAGGACTTGAGCTCACTTTTATAAACTAGCGTCACAAGTAGATCATTACTTTCTTAAGTATCATTTAGATATGATTAAAACTAATAAGCCAGACACCTATTATATACCATATTTGATTCTCCATAACTTGATTTCTAGAAATTACATGCACTCAATTGCAAATATTTTGTTGTTATTGTTGCGGTACTGGGGCTTGAACTCGGGGCCTTCACCTTGAGCCACTCCATCAATCCTACTTTTGTGAAGGGTTTTTTGAGATTGGGTCTCACAGAACTATTTGCCCAGGCTGACTCTGAACTGTGATCCTCCCGATCTCTGCACTAGGATTATAGGCATGAGCCACCAGTGCTTGGCTTAATTGCAAATATTTGTAATGGTAATTTCAGAGAATACTTGAAAGACCATTAACTTTGTCAGCACAGTAACTTAATGATTTGAGGGCAACAATTTAAATTTGGAAGAGTTTGTTAAATGATGTTACTTTATAGACAACTTGTATTTTAGGGAGTTGGCAGAAATATGAAGGCATCGAGACAAGAGCTTTCTTTTCTCCTTTGGGATTCTTTTTTTTTTTTTATTCTCAAACTACTGCGACAAGGTCTTATTTAGTAAAGGTAATACAGATTAAAACAAAATGTTGAGGCAACTGGTGATTTTTTGGGGGGTATGTGGGGAGGAAAGAGGAGGTTGAGATAGACTCACTATGTACCCCAGGCTTGCCTTGAACTCTCTCAGCCCTCCTGCTAGTGGTATGAACCACTAGCTCTGCTTACTAGCAAATATTACTTTTAGCCTTGCTAAATTTTTTAGTGTCTTTTAGTATGAATATAAAACTTGAACCATTCTTTTCCTTTTCCCTTTTTTATTTCCAAATAAAAAAGGGCATGGAAGACCTTTTAAGGATAGTAGTTAATATTAGTACTTTGCACTCATGCTAATAGATATAAGCACATGCTCTGAACTGACACCTTGGTGACCTGGTTGTGGTACTCCTATGCTTGCATTTCTAAAACTAGAAAGGACCTTTCAGGGCTGCTGGAAAAGGAAAATGGTTGACTATATAGCTTAGTATCTGAATTCCTTAGGGAACTCGAGGACTGTGAGTTCAGCTTTCTCTGGTGTCCCTCTGAGGCTGGCAGAGAGGGGAAAATTAAGTGAGAATACAGGCTTTGGGATCAGTTGATGTGCACCTGCATTCCAGTTGTCTGTGACCTGTCCTATAACATGGGGACACCGGTGTCTCCTTAGGGGCTACTCTAATGTTCCCAGGAGGCAAAGCAGGAAAACAGCTTATGCCTGGCACACAGTTAGACAGCTTGATTATCATTAAACCTGATTCATACTAATAACTGAGTTCAGTATTTATTAGTATTCAAATGAGAAACTATATATATATATGTGTGTGTGTGTGTGTGTGTGTGTGTAGTTATTGAACACATGTTCCCAGCATAGATTTTGCAGAATTAAAGAAAGCTGTGTGGAGAATACAAAATGGGACCTACAGTAAGGGCCTTATGAGGCATTCACAGCTACTGGTGATGCAGATCATTGTGGGCCCCAATATGTCCGGGACAATCCAGAATCCTCGAATTGGAGCTGGCTGCCTGGAGAAACACAGTCATGGTTAGGTTATAAAGCAGAGGCCAACAGAACCAAGAACAAAGGCATGAGTGACTGAGGTCTGGGGCCCTCTCAGGTCGAAGCTGACAGTTGCTCAGTCAGGGCAGTGGCCATGAGCATGGTGACTTGGAAGCCTGCAGTACAACTCTGATTCTTCTGCGCTGAGCCACCACGAAGCAGCATAGATGCCACTTCCACTAAGTCACTTAGAAAACCACAGCCTCAGTCATGTTACACTCTATGCGTTTTCTTCCTGATCACATGTGAGGCCCACTATCTTGGTAAACCTAGTCCAGTGTCTACAGTTTTAGTGCTCAGAAACAACAGAGTTTTAGAGTCTAGTTCTGATTACACATTCAGTGAAAACCAATACCTGGCACGGGACCTCAATGCGTGTACACAGCATCATCTCCTTCTTGTTTCCTTCCACCTTCACTGGAGAAACTGGAAACTGGCCCTCAAAGGGGAGCTGTTATTGCCTCCACTGCACTCCACTACCGGCCCCCATGTCTTCTGAAGACTACTCTCTCAGCTTATAAACAAGCTCATGTCTTTTCCATTCAAAACACTCTGCACTACAGCTCTGTGTGGACCTCCATTTTGTCCCAATTTCTAGCTCCCCTTACGACCTTGTTTCCTCTCTGTCCTTTAGAATAGCAGTCTTTAGATAGTCAACAACACTAGCTCCCCTTCCATACTTTGTATTATCAGGGTGAAATCCACTTACAGAGTGAGCATACTCAACTATGTACCAGTACCAGGTTAGGAATTAGAACACAGCTCAGACCCCACATGATCACAGAGCCTCTCCCTCCTCCGTAATAAAAGTTAATCCCTAGCCCAACTCTCATCTGTCATGCCTTTGCCTTGCTTTATAGTTTTCTTATCTATGTGTTCATTTTTAATTTTTTTTGTAGTACTGGGTAAACTTAGGGCCTTGTGCTTGCTAGGCAGGACTCTACCACTTGAGCCACACCATAGCCCTGTGTGTTCATTCTTAAGCACCACTGTTGAATTTTACCCACTTTTGAAACTTATATAAATTCCCTGTTCACTTTTCTCCACTCCTACAAGTGCTTCCCCTGCGGTCCTCTGTGTTGCGAAAGCTACACTCTAGTGCTCGTCACTGTCTCCTAGAAACAGTTCCTCCTTGGCATCCTTGACACCCTTTCTTCTAGGTTCTCCTTCAGGCTCTGGCAGCATTTTTCTCGTTTCTTTTTCTGGGCAACCCTTGCCAGAATCATGGCTCCAATGCTGACAATTTCCCATCCCTTATGTCCTATCCCACACCACTCCAAACTCCAGGCCTACACAGTCAGTTGCCTAATAAGCTCCTCCATTTAGATCTCCTAGAGGAACATAAAACTTCAGGTGTCACCATTACCTCATCTCTGTCTTCCCAAATCTGTTTTTTCTTACACCCCAATTTTTCTGAAGGGTACCATATCTACTCATTTATCCCAAGAAGAAAACTTATCAATCATTCTAGGTATCTCCCTTTATTCTACACATCAAATGTTTACTGAGTACTATGTACTCTGTTACATACTAACAGAGACTCTGCCCTTGAGACACATATAAATTGTAGTAATATACTATCAAAAAAAGAACAGGAGAACCCTAAGTTAGAATGGGGAATCAAGGGAGTCCTCTCTGAAGAAATGACATGATCAGAAAGAAAAATAAGTTAGCCAAGAGAAGATAGCAAACTGGGGTTGGGATAGAGAAAACAATGCATGTAATGGCCTTGAAACAGGAGAAGAATACTTGAACACCTGACAAAACAGGAGTGAAATACCATGTATAGGTATGTATCTGAATTACTGAAAACTATTATTTTTCTGGGTGTACACAGCAAAGATATTCCTTACCTGCATGGCAATGGCTTTGTACAAAGGATGTGCTCTACAAAGCACTTCTGTTCTGCAGCAAGTTCTTGTAAACTATCCTTATCTTCTTCATCTACCAAGAAACACATTATATAAATAAAATGCTGATGATATTTGTTAAATGCAATTAAGTTCTTATCTGAAGCCATTGGTTCTCAAGTACTGTGCCCTTCTGACACACAATTATTTCAAACCCAGTGGTCTAGATTTTGGCCCCGAGGAAGTGGAAGTTTCATTTCTCAGTTTCTAAATGCAAAAATGTTTGAGAACAATCATTCCTTCCAGTCTCTTCATTACCCACGGGGTTTTTATTAATAACCTTTACAAACATAACTGACAATACATACAATTTTTTTCATTATAAACCTTGTGTTACCATCACCACAAACAATTAAAATCCTTTCATTTCCTACAAAGAACCCCCTCTCCCATCCCCATCGGTGATCACTCCCCAGTTTCCATCAACCTTCCTGGACTAGGCAAACCAGTAATCTGTTTTCTATTTCTATGGATTTGCCTACTCTGGACATATCATAAAAATGGAATCAAACAATATGTAGTTGTTTCTAACTGGATTCTTTCCCTTAGCATACTTTCAAGGTTCGTCCATGTTGGAGCATGTACAGCATGTCATTCCTTCTTATTGCTGAGTAATACCCCACTGTGTGGATGGATACCATTTTTTGTTTATCTACTCATTGGATGATGGATGCTTAGCTAGTTGGCTTTGAGCTATTATGAATAATGTTACTATGAATATTTATGTGCATATATTTATATGGACATAAGTTTTCATTTCTCTTGGTTATATATACCCAAGGGGAACTACTGGATATATGATACCTCTATGCAACAATTAATATTGTAGGAACTGTCAGACTGTTTTCCAAAGTGCTAGACCATCTTACATTCCCATAAGCAGTGAATGAAGGTTCCCATTGTTCCAGATCCCTGTCAACATTTATTGTCTACCCTTTTCATTTCAGTCATCCCAATGGTTATGAAATGGTATCTAATTGTGGCTTTGTTATATCTGGTTTTCATGAAGGCTAATGAGGCTGACAGTCTTTTTTAGTTGGGCACAGTGGTTCAGGACTGTAATCTCATCTACTTGGGAGGCTGAGGTAGGAGAATTAAAAGTTTGAGGCTAGCTTGGGCAACAGAGTAGGATCCTGTCTCAAAAGGATCTTCATATATTATCAAAGAACAATGTCTATGCAAATTCTCTGTCCACTTTTAAACTGAGTTGTTAATATTTTTATTATTTTGTTCCAAAAGTTCTTTTATGTTCTAGGTGTAAATCCATTTATCAGGCTTGCAGAGTGGCTCAAGCGGTAAGAGTGCCTGCTTAGCAAGTGTGAGACCCTCAATGCCACCAAACAAAAACCAGTAAGTCCAGTATCAAATACAAATGAAATTATTTTCTCTTACTCTGGGGGTGTTTTCACTTTTGTGATAGTGTCCTTGATGGATAAGGTTTTTAATTTTGATGAGACTATTACCCATTTTTTCTTTCCCTACTGTGCTTTTGATGTCATATAGCTAAGAAATCATAACCTAATCCCAAGGCGCAAAAATTAATGTTTGTTTTCTTCTAAGAATGTAATAGTTACAGTTTTTCTATTTAGATCTTTAATCCATTTTGAGTTCATTTTTATGAATGGTGTGAGGTAGGGATCCAACTTCATTCTTATGCATGTGAATATACATTTGTATTAGCACCATTTGTTGAAAACCCTGTTCCTAGTTGGGCAGTGCCTATAATCCTAGCTTCTTGGAAGGCTGAGATCAGAAGGATCATGTTTGAGGCTAGCCCAGCAATATTTCACCAGGCCCCATTTCAACCAGTAACTGGGGTGGTGGTATGTGCCTGTCATCTCAAGCTATGTGGGAGGCTTTAGTTCTAGGTCAGCCAGGGCAAAAAGTTTGTGAGACCTCATCTCAGAGTAAAAAAGCTGGGCATGGTGGTATATACCTTACATCCCAGCTGTGGTGGAAAGCATGAAATAGGAAGATCATGGTCTTCAAGCCTCTATTTCCAAAATAACCAGGGTAAAAAGTAAAAAGGGCTGAGATGGCAGAATGGCTCAAGTGGTAGAGTGATTACCTAACAAGTGAAGCCCTGAGTACAAACTCCAGTACTGCCTCCCACTGGAGAGCACTGGAGAGCACTGTCCAGCAAGTGCAAAGCCCAGAGTTCAAACCCCAGTACCACCAAAAAAAGATACAAAAGACTGTTCCTGACTGAACTATTTTGGTCCTCTTGATAAAACCAAATGAGTATACATATGAATTTATTCCTAGACTCTCAATTGACCTTTATTTTCCAAGAATATTTTAGCTTGCCTTCATTTGAGGATCATCTTGTCAATTTCTGCAAAGAAGCTAGCTAGAATTTTCACTGGGAGTACACTGAATCTGTATATCAATTTTTTTTTTTTTTTTTGAGGGTCTGAACTCAGGTCCTTGCGCTTGCTGGGCAGGGGCCTTACTTACCTCTAGCCCTTTTTCCCTTTAGGTATTTCTTGAAGAGTGTCTAATATTTATACCCAGACTGGCATGGAACTTGATCCTCCTATTTATGCTTCCTGTTTAGCTGGGATGCTTGGTGTGTGCCATTATGCCCAACTTTTATTGATTGAGATGGGATCTTGAGAATTTTTTGCCTGGCTGGCCTCAAACCTGGAATCTCCTGATCTTTATCTCCAAGTAGCTAGCATGACAGGTATAAGCCATCATACCCATTGCCTATTTAATCATTTTGATGCTACTATAAATAGAAATGTTTTCCTTTTTTTTGGCAATATTGGGGTTTGAACTCAGGGCCTCACACTTTCTAGGCAGGTACTCTACTGCTTGATGGTAATGTTTTCTGTTTTTTTCTTACTATTCATTGATACTGCATAGAAATGAAACTAGTATTTTTGTATTGACCAAGCATCCTACAAACTTGCTGAATTTTATTTTTCCCTTTCCTTTTCTTGGCTAATTTCCCTGCACAGAACCTCCATTACAGTGTTGGATAGAGGTGGCATGAGCACACATTCTCATTATGTTCTTTAAGAGGAAGTGTGGAAAGGTGAACATGTAAACAATTAAATTGGACATTACCAAGCAAAGCCTTGACGATGTGGAGTTCTTCCTGCCAATTACAATACAAGGAAAGACACAACTGAGGGATGAATTGTTAAATACAAAGGAACAAAGAATCAAGGATTTGGGAAATTCTCAGCCTGTGTAAATGGCAAAAAATGCTAAAATAAGAGAACCACTGTCAGATAATCAGTTTTTCTCAGATAATCATACTCTAGAGAAAAAGTCACAAGTGTGGTTATATTACGTTTTGCTAATACCTCAGAAAGATCAAAAGGTCAGAATATTCAGATATCCAAAAGACTCTTTGAAGAGATGACCAGGGTGACTTCTATCACTCAGCCCTCCCAGCAAATGTCAGAAAGCGGAAATAGGGTGAGCTAGGAAGGATCTAACTGAATGAACTCTAGCACACACAGGTTAAGTATTTAAGAATTTTGTAACAGCAGAAACACTGCTGGTTTACAGCAAAGGGATCAGAAAGAGGATAAAGAGAAGGCTGTTTTACTTCTAAAATTCTACATGTAAGAAACAAGCTTATAATACTACTTAACTACAAACAAATGCCACCTTTCCAAAAAAATGAAGGATGAACTGGCGGAGGGGCTTAAGTGGTAGAGTGTATGCCTAGCACGCATGAGGCCCTGAGTTCAAGCCCCAGCACCATACACACACAAAGGATGAGGGTGGTACATATGATCAAAGTACATTGTACTCATATATGCAAATATGATTAAGTTCATTAAAAATGTACAAAAAAATTCAGAATCTTTCCCTGAATAAAGACCATGTACTGAAATGATTATGTTTATATAAATTTTAGAAATTTAACTTACAGCTACAATGAGAGAAAGAAAACCAGTAGTTACCTGGACATAAAGATGAAACTGGCAGGCTGTTTATTAAATAAGTGCTATTTATTTTATGTCGATTATGACTTTAAAAAAAAATGAAGAATGACTCAGATGGCAGAGTTAGAAGCCCCGAGGATTATCGCAGGGTTTGAAACCCACTGGAATTTGGATTTGGAAATTGCTTGGACCTTCATCCCCCTTTCCCTTCCATTTTCTTCCCTTTTGAACTAGAATGCCTATATCTGGTATCCTGTGCCTATCTCACCAGAGTTCCGGGAGCAGATACCTTATTTTCTAGCTTCATAGGTCCATAAATGAAGAAAACTTCTGCTCAAAGTTTCATCGATACTTAATAATGAAATTTGGGACTCCTGAGATTTAGATTAGATGGTGAACTGATGCTGATGCTATAGTGATTTGAGAATTCTGAGAATGTTGAGATGAAGTGAATGTATTTTTGTACTTGGATCAGATGTGAATCTTTGGGGGTAAAGGGTTTGACTATAGTAGGGAGAATAATGAATTCTCTAAAGATGGCCACATCTAATCCCAAAGAAACTATGAAAATGTTAGCTTATATGGCAAAGTGGAATTACCATTGCAAATGAAATAAAAGTTTCTCATGAGATGATTTTAAGATAAGGATATTATCCTGGATTATCTGGGTGAACCCAATGTATTATAAGTTTCTTTAAAAGTGAAAGAAGATAGCCAGGCATGGAGGAACACATCTGTAATCCCAGCTACTCAGGAGGCTGAGGCAGAATGATTGCTAAATTCAAGGCAAACATAATGAGACTCAGTCTCCAAAAAAGTGAAAGAGGAAAGTAGGAAAGGTCAGAGTAATACAATGTGAGAACTCAACCCATCCCATTACTGCTGGTTCTGAAGATGGAGAAAGTGGGCTATAAGCCAGGGAATGTGGTAGAAGTGGGTAAAAGATAGGAAGAAGATTCTCCCCTAGAGTCTCCCAGAAGAAAAATGCTCTGCCAACTCAAGCCCAATGAGACTCATGTAGGATCTCTAACTAAAGAGCTGTGAGACAATAAATCTGTGATGTTTTAAGCCACTAAATTCATGGCACGCTATTACAGCAACAGCAAAAAGCCAATACAGAAAGCACATAGTGTTTCACCATTAAGTATGGCGGAATTTTCATAGATGCCCTTCATTAGTTTGATGAGTTCCCTTCTCTTACTAGTTTGCTGACTTTTTGAGGGTGGGGGGAGGGGTTTTGCTGGGGATCAAACCCAGGGTCTTGTGCATAGTAAGTGTTCTACCACAGAACTACATCCTCAGCTCTGTTGACTTTTTTTTAACATGACAGGCTATTGGGTGATCTTACATATTTTTTGTCTGTTAAGATGCTATGATTTTTTACATGTACTCATATGTACAACCCAGTATTGATTTTTGGATGCTAATATAACATTACATTCCTGAGATAAATTCCACTTGGTTGTAGTATATAATCCTTTTTATGTGTTAATGGATTTGGTTTGCTAGATTTTGTTATTTTAGGTATCAGAATGATACTGACCTCACAGAGTGAGTTGAGAAGTGTTCCTTCCTCATTTGTATTTTGGGAGAAGCTTGTAAAGAACTGGTATTAATTTTTAAATATGAAGCTACCTGGCTTTTCTTTTAGATTTTTTTTTTTAGTTTCTAATCAACATATAGGCCAATCAAAAAATGTTTTTATACTTAAGTCAGTTTTGGTGACTTTTTTTCATGTACATGTGAAACTGCCTATTTCATCTAGGCTATCTAACCAGCATACAGTTATTCATAGTACACTCCCTTATAATTTTGAAAATTTGTGTAAGTGGTACTAACATCCCCTCTTTCATTCTGACTATAGCAATTTTAGTTTTCTCTTTTCTGGTATCTGGGCAGTCTGGCTAAAAGTTGATCTTTCCAAACAACCTTATGGTTTCACCAATTTTCTCTTATTATTTTTATTTTCCAAACTGATGGAATCTTTGCAACCTATTGAAAAATACAGAAAGCAAACTCACCTGATCCAAGAAACTTGTGGAGTTTATGAATCCAAGTTAGCCCGACACTGTGTACACCAGCTTCATGAGTACAATGATATCTTGAAGGACACTTAGGATCTGCAAATGGTATCATTAGTGACACAAAGGTTGCCAGCAGGAAACTAAAAGAACTTACCTCAGTAGCCTACAAACACATCTGCTGATGCAAGGATTTTCATACTGGGACACTGTGTCAGCAGTCTTGAAAGTTTTTAATTTGAGTAAGTATTTTTAAAAGTATAATAAACAAAATCCAAATGTTATTTACTACTAAAAACATTTGCTATCAGATAAATCATTTATGCCTTTCACATTTATTTAAAATTCTTCAAAATAAAAGAGTGATTAAGAATGGCAGGTCTGTAGAAAGCCTATGCTTGCACACATCTACTTAATGAAACTGCTGCTATAGCACAGGCACTGACAAGGCACAGCACAACTGTCATCATGCAGTAAGTCAGGTGTGAGATGTCATATGTCTTCATAGTGTTCACTTACAGACAGTTCTAAAGTTTAGCCATAAACTTACTAAAAAGACAGATTATCACATGAATTTCAATATATCCACTTACTACTTTTGTTTTTGGTTTTTTTTAGCAGCACTGGGGTTTGAACTCAGGGCCTCGCACTTGCTTGGCAGTTGCTCTTAACATATGAGCCATTCCACCAGTCCCCTTTTGTGTTAGATTTTTTTTTGAGATAGGATCTTGCAGACTATTTGCCTGGGGATGGCTGTAACTGCAATTCTCCTGATTTCTGCTTCCTGAGTAGCTAAGATTACAGGCGTGAGCCACCAGCACCTGGCTCCACTTACTTCTTTATACATAAAAGCATAAAGACAAAAAAAAAAGTCTTGTCCATGTGTCCGTGGCCCTGGCTTTTGCTAAATATTAACTGTGAAGTGTACCTGCTCCTGTAGTCTTCAATAGGGCCTTTTATAAGCCCTGTGATAAAAGCTTCCTGTCACGACATATATCATCTATCAGGGGTTCACTCTATTCTCCCGGCATTCTGAGAGACCAGTGGGCCAACTATCATTTTCTACTCTGAGGTTTTTAGACTGCATACTCCTCTGATATTCTAAAATGAGTCAGAAATGAAGGCAGGTAATGTACCCAAGCAGGTTGGGGCAGATAAGGAATGGTTTCACATAGGAATGTTCCTATTCCTCCAACTGCCAAGACTTTTCTTAAACATTTTTTATAAAACTTAAGATTTTATGTATTCATGTACAAAAATGGAAAAATGAGACCTGCTGAAACTATTGTATGAATGAGAGAGAGAGAGTAAAGGAGAATGATGGAGGGGTGAATTCAACTATGATATATTGTGAGAACTCTGGTAAATGTCATACAGAGTGCACCTCCCGTATGACAATAATAATAATAATAATAAAGATAAAATAAAAAAAATTATTTTCAGTTTTGGATTCTCTTTCTAAGAAATGTGAGCAGTTGTTAAATTCATTGGCTTTGAAACAAAAATTTCTATAGTTTCCTTTGAGCCCTAGTATCACTGAGACAATCCTGTAACTAAAAGAGGAGCTCTTGAGTTTTATTTATTATTATTATTATTTTTTTAAATTATTACTATTTTTTTTTTTGCAGTGTCAGAGCTCAAACCCAGGACCTGTACATGCTAGTCAAGGGCTCTATCATTTAGTTAACTGGCAGTCCTTCTGCTTCTGGCTCCCAAGTGCTGGGATGACAGGTATTTTAAGAATCAGCTTAGGTTGGGGCTTTTTTGTCAAAGGATTTAATCAGTAGCCACTGCTGTTACAAATGTTAGTCTCACTAACTCTTCTCCCACTCACTCACTTCATGGACTCTGCTTAACCTGACAAAAGTTTCTATTAAGAACTTCTCTTAGCCAGGCAAGTTCTTATTTCTGCTAGATGCCCTGGTTCTGGAGCTGATAACCTAAGACAGTCATTGTTTCTCTGATCTTTTAAACTTCTTTGTCTCCAAAAGCCCCTTTCCCTTTCCAATTAGCCAACTGCATAGACTATGAACCCAAAACCTGCCCAATCCAGGCAAGGGGCAGCATCGCATTAGAGATAAAGCCTGCCTGGTGTGCTTGCTTCCCAGACTCTGTCAGGTGCACACCCTTCTGCAAAAGTAAATTTTGCCTTGCCTACTGACTTCTGAGGTGTGTTGTCTCTTTCATGACAATATCTTAAAGATATTTCTTACAGGTATACACCACCATCCTGGCCCTATTTTTTTTTTTTTTCTTTGTATCTGGAATGAGGTATCACTGTACCACCTAGGCTGGTCTTAAATATATGAACCTACCTCACTCTTCTGAAATTGGATTATAGGCAAGTACCATCGTGCCCAGCTCTTCTATCATTATTCATCTATCTCTATGGTTAAGAATTTTAAAAATATTAAACAAAAACAAAATACAGAAATATTGTATATATTAAAGCAGATAACACAGCAACAATAATCTACAAATTCCTAAATTCAATTTTCTTTTAATAGTCTTGCTTTTTTAATGTTGACATTACAGTAACTTTTGTGAAGTTGATGTTGTATTGTTTTCATCTGTCTTATATATTGGAGTTTGGCATACTTCTGAAAATAATATTTTGCTATGAAAAAGTTTCTTCATAGCAAAATTTTGACAGAACTAGGGGTTAAAATGTGGGCCTTGTGCTTACTAGGCAGGTTCTCTGCCACCTGAGCCACTCCTTCAGTCCTTTTTGATTTATTAATTATTTAGTTATTTTTCATGTAGGGCCTTGCCATTTTGCCTGGGTTGGCCTCAGACTGGGTTCTACCTATGGCTTCCCACATAGCTGAGATGACAGACACACACTACTAGGTTGTTGGTTGAGAGTAGGCCTCCTAACTTTTTACCTGGGCTGGCCTCCTGATCTCTACCTCCTGAGTTGCTAGGATTACAGGCATAAGCCACCACACCCAGCCAAAAAATTCTTTAAAAAAACCCTGGTCTATGGGAATCATTCCTGTTTGAACAATAAAATATTGAAAAATTTCCTTTCATATGCTCAAATTTAAGACTTTATGGTCACACAATCTCATTAGATTTACCATTGTTTACAATAGCTTTCAAATTTTGTTTGTGATGTTAAAGTCAATTGAAAAATCTTTTATTGGAATGAAACAGAAATCTGGTCTGAAAAAAAGCCAAGATTCAGTTGGCTCCTATTCAGCAAATAGAAGATTTGCTAGATACCATTCCTCCCCCATTGTTGTATGGCAGCCATTGTACTTTGTCATCAGAAATCTGGGTGTGTTTCAGGGACTGTAATATGTCATAAGCACAAATATGAACAAATTAAAAATTTCTGTTACTTTCACAAAAGAAGCATCCCCAGCCAAAAAAACCCCTGACATTTAAGAATTCCCAAAGAAATATACATTGTTATAAGGAAATCAAGTAGTTTACATCACTTTATCTCACTAGATCTGTATCTTCTTCTGTAAAGTTCTTAGACTAACTATCTAGACTGTGTCTCTTAAAACACTTCAATTAGACATGCCTAGCAAATTCTCTTTGCTGCTTGATTATATAGGGACTACTACTACTTTAAATGTTTTGGCCAGGCTGGGTGCCAGTGGCTGATACCTGTAATTCTAGTTACTGAGGAGGCAGAGATCAGGAGGATTGAGTGGCTCATGTAAGAGTGCTTGCCTAGCAATCGTGAGGCCCCAGTGCTGCTCCCCCCACAAGCCCCCGCCAAAACAAAAAGGTTGTGGATATACCTGCAGTCTGTTGTTGACCAAATATTAAGCAGTGCATGCCTATATTACAATTTTAACTTTAAAATTAAAATTATTTATTTTACTGGTACTGGGGTTTGAACTCAGGGCCTTGTACTTGCTAGGCAGGCACTCTACCACTTGAGGCACTCCACAGCCCAAAATTAAAGTTATTTTTAAAGTTAATTTAAAGCTTGTATATTCTTAAATATTTGAATTGTGAATTCTACTTTTTTAAATGGTACTAGCAAATGAACCCAGGACTTCACTTGAGTCACAACCCTAGCCCTTTTGTTATTATTTTGTGTTTTTTTTTTGAGATAGGGTCTCATTAACTTTGCCTGGGTTGATCTCAAACTCATGATCCTTCTGTTTCTACCTCTGCAGTAGGTAGGATTATAGGCAAGCACCACCATGCCTAACTTGAAATTTACCTTTGATAGGACCAGGAAAACTCACAATTAGGCATCTGGGTGGATCCAGAATAAAGATCACGCTCAGGCTCAAGTGGCAGAGTGCTTGCCTAGCAGGCAAGAGGCCCTAAGTTGCCCCCCTCCCCGCCAAAAAAAAAAAAAGTCACTCTTAAAACTTGAGAAATTTGTTTAGTCTGCCTTGGATCGGTAATACTGTATAGTGATTAAAGTGAAAAGCAACAACAAAACCAGTCAACTAAATTGAAGGCTGGAACAATAGAATAAATTACATGGAACAGTTTAGGATGGTCTTAGTATAAATATAACAGATGTGCTAGGAGCTTGTGGCTCACACCTATAATCCTAGCCACTTGGAAGACTGAGATTGGGAGAGTTTCAGTTTGAGGCCAACCTGGACAAATAGTTCTCAAGACCCCATCTCTAAAATAACCAGAACAAAATGGACTGGAGGTGTGCCTCAAGTGGTATAGTGCCTGCTTTGCAAGAGTGAAAGCCCTGAGTTCAAATCCCAGTCTCACCAAAAAAAAAAAATATATATATATATATATATAAACACGAGATGGAAAAACTACCTTAAGTGAATACATTACCTCGGTGAAGTTTGATTGGACAAGAAAAGTCAGAATCAAAGGGATCATCCTCTCCAGATGCCAATTTCAGGGCAAGCTCCAACTCAACACATTCAAACACATACAAAGAAGGAATGAGGTCAATCCTGTAATCCCAGGACTTTTCTGACTAAAAAAGACAAAAAGAAAAAGTGCTGTATTTTTTATCTTGTATGATCATTTGAAAATGTACATAGCTAAAAAGAGAAGCAAAACAGTGGTCAAATTGTGCTTTCAAACTCTTAATTCTACTCCTATCCTAACAATGCATTTCTTTCTCTCTCTTTCTCCCTTCCCTTCCTTTTCTCTTCCCCTTCCTCCCCCTTCTCTCCTTCCCTCCCTTCCTTTCCTTCCTCTCTCATTTCCCTCTCTTCCTTTCTTCCCTCCCTCCCTTTTCCCCTCCCTCTCTACCTTCCTCCCTTCTCCCCTCCCTCTCTACCTTCCTCCCTTCTCTCTTTCTTCCTTCTCCCTCTCTCTTCCATTCTTTCTTTTTATTTGAGACAACGTGTCAGTATGTGTCTCCAGTTGGCCTCCAATTCACAATCTTCCTGCCTCAGCCTCCTGAGTGCTGGGATTATAGGCATGTAACACCACACCTGGCTTGTAATTCATAAAAGAGGAAAAAAAAAAGTCTGTCTTCCTTTAGGAAAAGGTTAATAAAACAAATCTGGAGAAAAGCCAGCCCAGTAATTCAAGGGTTCTTTATATTAGTTATCAAGGACTACAATACAGAAGTCAAAAATACCAGTAAGAGGTGAACAGAGAGGTCAGAAAGAAATACACAGGTTAGTGACCAAGTTGGGCAACCTTCTACCTTCTCATTTAGATTTTTAAGGGTGTTTCAGTTACTTTCAAGTGTTTAACTTCCAAAATATCAGAAGTGCCAGATGTGAGCTGAAATTCCTCCTACAGTAAGTAGTCACATTGCTCTAAGAACTATATCTAGAATTAAAGATACAAAACATATCAACACCAGCCTGGCACTTACGGTTTGGTCATCTTCTTCTTCTCCTTCTAGCACAACACAGTGGTACAGCATTCCTGATTCAGTTGCAATCACTAATATGTTGGGAACACAGGGTAAGCAGAGTATAGCACAAGCATCATAACCATAGTTATCTTCAGCTGCAGGGTGCATGGGCAATGGACCTAGCAGCTTTCCAATATTCCCAGGGCTAAAGAAAGAATAAAAACACATTTGGAAAATGTTGACAGAACATAATCATGCCCATCCCGCGAAACAGTCTTTCAGTTGATATTCCTCCAGTTATCATACCCTTATTATCAATACAGTATATTCCCAATGCCTCCACTTTTTTGCTTTCCCACTCAATTTCTAACACTGGTGGTTCTAAACCAGAGACATTCCCACCACTGTGGGAGGAGGGGTAACTGCCATCTACCGAATAGAGGCCAGAGATGCTGATAAACTCTCATCTCCAACAAAGAATTATTCAGACCAAAATGCCCAGAACTCATGATCCTCCTGCCTCAGTCTCCCAAGTGCTAGGATGACACGCATGCACCAGCACAGCAGACACTTTCCTCAAACCCTTCTCCTCTGCTCACTCTCTCACCATGGTAGATGACACTCACATCTTTATTTATATCCTTCTTCATCATCTCTAACTGTCCTGTATATCCAATTGTCCATGGATTATTTCCAATTTATTGATTCAATACTGTCTCACATTGGCCATCTGTAAAAATAAATCTTTTTCTCTAATTAACTACCTTTCCTGACCTTGAGATTTCTTTTAATGGTTGACTCCCTTAATCAAACAGCAACTAAGTCTTACTGATCCTTCCTTTGTAGTATCTACTGTTTCATTTCTTCCTTTGCACTACCTCCACTCTAGTTTAAACTGTCCTAGACTTTAAGCTCAACTTTACAACAGCTTCTTTAAAAGTCTCTTTGCCCCAGTCCCTTCCCTAACCAACTATCTATCCATCTTTCTCCTGCTGAGAAACCATGAGTGGCTTCCTAGTACACTGTTCCTCCAGCAGAGACTCATGCTCCTTAACTTAGGTATGTAACTCCACCAAATTTTCCCTGGGCAGATACATCTAGCTTCATCATTTAACGCCTCTTACACAAATCTGTTGTACCCCAACCTGTCTAATCATTTAACCTTGAATGACACTTACACTTGTTTGTTTTTGCACTCTACTTTATGCTACCCTTATGACCGAAATGCTCTTACCCGTCCTTGATACTTCATTTAATTCTGAATGAGACTTTGAAGTCCCACATGACATCAGTACTTCTTTCCAAAACTTCCTTAACTTTCTTAACTCTAGTTAGATTGATCTCTCCTTCCTCTGGGTCCTTATTGTGTCCCAGTATTGTGGTATGGATACTTATCTCTTCATGTGTATACATGTCTTTTCCCCCATAACTGGGATATAAGACACCATAGTGCCTTGTTCATGTAAGACAAACAATACCTTTTCAGTTAACTAGACTTTGTGAAACAAACAAATTTAGTTTTGTCTTAAACTATAGAACTTACCCAAATAATATGAGGAAGTGAAAGGTCAAATGATCTGTGCAAACCAAGCATCTAAAGGCTGCTCACTTCCACAAAGTCAGAAATGTGGATCCCAAGTCCAACCATAGCAGTCTATACTGGAGGACAGATGAGTTTTCATTTCAGGCAGATTACTACCTCAACTTACCTGTGTAACAGACTAACATATGTAAGGAAGGTCTCCCCATTCTCATATAAGATGTACAGTGGGTATGCCACTACTTCATCTTTGCTTTTCTGTCCAAATACATTCTTTGGGACTGCTGCCAATGGCCCAAAGTCAAATGCAACTGCTGTCTCTCCTAGAGATGCAGTGTATGTTCTTCTGCAAAGAGATGTGAAAACCAAGTTATTGAAAACAAAAAAGAAAATATCTAATACCAGGAGGTAGATATACACTGAATAAAGTGAAAAAACAACAAATTACAGTTATTAAAGAATGTTAACTTTGGCAGGATGCCAGTGGCTCATGCCTGAAATCCTAGCTACCTGGGAGGCTGAGATCAGGATGATTACGGTCTGAAGCCAGCCTGGGCAAATAGTTCACAAAACTCTATCTCAAAAAAACCGATCACAAAAAAGGGCTGGCAGCGTGGCTCAAGTGGTAAAAGCACCTGAATTCAAACCCAAGTGGTTAAAAAAAAAAAAAAAATGTTAACTGAAGAAAATCCTCATAAAATTAAGTGGAAATAAAGCAGACCATAAAATTATTTGTATTACCTTAATTTTTAAATAGTTTAAATTCAGGTATGTATGACAAAAATATATGAATATACACCTGTAGAAATATAAAAAGAATCACATAAAAACATCCATAATTATCTCTAAGCAACAGGATTCATTCATTCCACAGATATTTATTAACTACCCATTCTGTGCCAGGCACTGTTTTAGATTATGAGAATGTATCAGCAAATGAAACAAAAGTCCTGTCCTCTTGTGAGAGAGATGTACAATAAACATAGAAGAAATAAGCATTTAACACAGATTTAGATAATGATTTTTGTTGTTGTTGTTTGCTTTGTTTTTTGAGGTAGGGTCTCACTACGTACCTCAGCTAGCCCTGGATTCGTGATCTTTCTGTCTTAATCTCCCAAGTACTAGGATTACAGGTGTGTACCACCACCTCTGAGAGAAAATGATATGGTAAAGAAATGGGCTGGAGATGTGGTTCAAATAGTAGAGCACTTGCCTACCAAGTATGAGACTAAATTCAAACTGCCAAAGAAAGAAAGAAAAATACAGTAAGGCAAAAAAGTTGATGGTGTAGGTAGTATGGAGAAGACTCTGATAAAGTGATATTCAAGTAATCTGAAAGGAGTAAGGGAGCAAGTCTATAGTTATCTGAGAAAGGAGGAGCAGTTAAAGTGGAGGGAAAAATTACATGTCATAACTCTAAAGTGTTGTCTGAGGAATGGCAAAGAGGCCAAGGTGGCTGGAACCCAGAGAGCCAGGACACAGTGAGAAGAATTAAACTTCTGTGGGAGTAGGTGGCAGACCTGTAGGCTCTGGGAAGGCAACTATAAAGACTCTGGGAACCAACAGGGTATGGACAGCAGGAAAGTAGAGTGATCTTATTTGATGGAAAGTATTACTTTGGCTGTTGTACTTAAGAGGTTAAAGATTACAAAAGATTTCCATTTTCTTCCTAATACTTTTCTCATTTTCCCCAACTTCCAACAATAAACATTACATATATAATCAGAAAGGATAAACTATACAACCATGCTACTTTTGTGTTTTAAAATTTATTATAGTTGGCTATTAAAAAAACCCCTCCAATTCAATAAAAGGTTAATGAATATGGTTAAAATAAAACCACCACCTCACATAGTTTATGTTTTTTTGAGGTACTGGGGTTTGAACTCAGGGCCTCATGCTTGCTAGGTAGGTGCTCTACCACTTGAGTCATTCCACCAGCCCTATTTGCCCAGGTTTTGCACCATGATTCTCCTGATCTCTGCCTCCTGTGTAGTTAGGATTACAGGGGTGAGCTACCAGTGCCTGGCACAACCTCATATAGTTTAGAATCAACATCACTGTATCATTGTAAGGTATTATAAATGCATTTATTACATGGAAAAATATATGGTATCATGCAGTAAAAACAGAAATCACAAACAGAAGAATAAAAGAACTGCCTGAGTTAAACTAATAAATCAAGATAATGAGTAGATTCCAAAGTTCTGAGTTCAGTTCAGGGCAGCTTCCCTGTTCTGTTAATTAAACTTTGGGACGTTGAAACTGGCTAGAGGAGATGAGTGGATAGAAGTATTACTTTATTTGTTTACCTCCCAGCCTACAGCACCAAAAAAGAAAGAAAAAAAAAAAGTGGAAATAAACAGAGACGTTAATAAGACTTAAAATACTCTCAAGCTATGAAGATTTAACTGAAGTTTAATAAATACTGTGGTATATTTAATAATGACAATGGTATCAATTGAGTATTCACTCTATGCCAAACCCCATGCCAAGCACTTCTTTATGCATGACCTCACTAGCTTTTACAATAACCTTATGAAATGAGTACCATTATTTTTTGTATTTATGGAACATGTTCATGGAAATGAGGCTTACTGCAATTGGAAAACTTGCCCAGATGCCACAGCTGGGAAGTAGCAGAGCCAAGATTAGAACCCAGGTAGATTGATACCATAGCCCAAGCTCTTAACCCTGCATTTGCTCTACTACCTCTTATCTAGATATTATGCTGTCAAAAGAAAGTAGGTCAGCTATGGATACATAATGTAGGAGAGGTTATGCCCTAATGCAAGGTAAGATTAACCTCAGAGGCAGGTGTTGCCTCACTCTGGAGATGAATGCTGGTACTCTAAGACCTCACATCCTTTAAATGAAACATTCAGTTCTGGGACCATCAAAGGGAACTGACACAGTTCTAGGTCATAACAAGCCCTGGCTCCCGGCAGAAGCAGATGCAAATTCTTTCTTAGGAATACCTACCCAATTCAGGCTCTCAATGCTCCCAAACATTAAGATCAAATATAAGTTAACATTAGAAGATCAGCATCAATAAAGGAAACAATGTGATTGCAGGCCAGGAAAGCACAAATACAGATTTAATGCTGACCTCTCACCACCACAGGCTTCACATATTGAAACTATTAAATATAGAACAACTAGATATAAATTATCCAAGAAACAAAGGTTAGAATAACAAAAATAAAACTATTAGTTAAGACCACCATAGAGACATGAAAATAATTAAATGGAACTTCCAGAATATTGCTACTAAAAAATTTCACTCTAGCTTGGCACCAGTGGCTCAGACCTGTGCTCCTAGCTACTTGGGAGGCAGGGATGAGGAGGATCACAGGTTCAAAGCCAGTCCAGGGAAATAGTCTGAGAGACCCTATCTTTATTTTTATTTATTTATTTTTTTAAAATTATTCATATGTGCATACACTGTTTGGGTCATTTCTCCTCCCTTCCCCCACCTCAGTTCCAGGCAGGTCCTGTTGTGCTATTATCATTAATTTTGTTGAAGAAAAGACACAAGCATAATAAGGAAGACAAAGCGTTTTTGCTAGCTGAGTTGAGGATAGACAGAAATATTCCTAGCATTGCTCTCATGTACACATGTGTTATGACCCATTTGATTCATCTCTAACTGATCTTTACGCTGGTTACGGACGGGAGACCCTATTTTTTTTTTTCATTTTTCTTTTATTATTCATATGTGCATACAAGGCTTGGTTCATTTCTCCCCCCTGCCCCCACCCCCTCCCTTACCACCCACTCCGCCCCCTCCCTCTCCCCCTCCTCAATACCCAGCAGAAACTATTTTGCCCTTATCTCTAATTTTGTTGTAGAGAGAGTATAAGCAATAATAGGAAGGAACAAGGGTTTTTGCTGGTTGAGATAAGGATAGCTATACAGGGCATTGACTCACATTGATTTCCTGTGCGTGGGTGTTACCTTCTAGGTTAATTCTTTTTGATCTAACCTTTTCTCTAGTACCTGTTCCCCTTTTCCTATTGGCCTCAGTTGCTTTAAGGTATCTGCTTTAGTTTCTCTGCGTTAAGGGCAACAAATGCTAGCTAGTTTTTAGGTGGGGAGACCCTATCTTGAAAATATCAAAAACTCAAAAAGGGACTGGTGGGATGGCTCAACTGGCAGAATGCCTGCCTAGCAAGCATGAGGCCCTGAGTTCAAAACCCCATACTGCCAAAAAACAAAAAAAGAAAGTTTACTCTACTCATACACCATTGTGTGTGATGTGTGGGAATCATCGAAAGACTGATCAGGAAGCCAGAGGAATGGGGTTTTGAGTTCAAAGGGTGATTTTATTAGTGGTCAAAGCACCCAGGAACTTGTGGTAGGTAAGAAAAGACAAAAGAATCCAGGGAAACAGAAGAATCAAAAGGGCCGAGTATGTTCCACTCCCAGTGCTGGGATACAAGAAGTCGCTCACCAGAGCAATCTTTACCACAGTGAGTGAACAAATGGTAGGCTTCCAGCCCAACACTTACACCTTTCACTTTTTTGTTGCAATTTTATAATGTATTCTCTTATCCAAGTTACAAGAATCAGTTTCTGACATTTTTAGAACTTTCTTGAAAAGAGACCAAGCTAGTAGTCACGGTGGCATTCAGATCTGTAACTTCTTGTTACCTATCTACACTGCCTACTTTTGCTTTTTTCTTGTATTTATAAAAGCCTGTTAAAGTCGCCTCTGGAAAACCTTGTAATTACTATTAAAACTGCATTTATCGTCTCAATAAACTAACTTAAACAAGCACCTTATGACACAAAATCTTACCTTTTATTGAGAATTAAACTTTCCTCTTCTGCTTCTGAAAGTATAATTACCTTAGTTGGAGTTTGAGGCTCACGTAAAGAGTAAACTCTAGCAATCAAGAGAGAAGAAAACCAACAGTTAGAATTTTCTTTCATTTCCCAAAATGGCTCTTTCTTCTCCATCTAATAGAACCCAGAGCTTTGAGTATGCTAGGCAACCACTCTGTCAATGAACTATCCCCACCAGTCCCCTTATCAAACTTCTTTGGCAGCCTATTCCATACTATTACACCTCTATCTTGTCTGTCCTGAGCCCTTACCCATACCCTTCTTGTCTCGTCATTTTATTACTGCCAGTTTTCCTTCAACCATACCCAATTGTATTGGCATATTAAAAACCAAATCCCACTAGAGAAGGGACCATATTTTACTCTTCTTTACATACCAAATACCCATCAGAGCAAGCAACATTTAGCCTCCAATCTATACATGTTTTTTATATCAAGACCAGTTCTATGTCATCCCTATTTTCTCAAGGAGAGCACAAAAGTGGAAAACTTTAAAGCATTTTAATTAACATAACTTTATTTCATAGAATATATGTCTATTGTTAAAGGGAAAATCATTTTCAAAAGGCCAGTAATGTCATTACTAGAAATCCAATGTCCCTTATGAAGTCTTCACTAAATCAATCACTTATCTTTTCTAAGAATTTTTAAATTCTGTTATCAATAATAGAGTGTCTATTCTTTTATATTATAAAATGGTATATTCTATTATCAATAAAACGTCACATAAGAATTTAATAAATTTTTAATGTTAATTTGATCCAGCTGAATACACATTCATGTGGTCTTCTTAGGTACCTACAAGCATACTGACTTCAAAGGACACATAAATACTGTGACAGTAATACTGTGTTGGGGAACAGTAAAAGAAACTCTTAAGTGCAATAGAGCAATGAGTAAGAACTTCCTTTTGCCTTGAAATTGTCAACAAGGTCCAAAGCAAAGGAAAGAGAAGTGTTAAGTACCTCATGTTTTAAAAAGAAGCTTCAATATGTGGGGCCAGATTCCCACTTTAGGGCTTAACCTGAGGAAGGATTTGCCCTATGCTATCTCCCCACCATTTCCTTTTGTAGCATATAGAAAAGAACAGCTAAGAATATCAAACAGCTAAGAATATCAAAGAATTCTTGGAAGTACAGAGTAATGTTTGTAATTGGATAGTTTTCCTCCCCCTTCCCTTTTTTTAAGTTTTAGTAAGGGTTAATTTTAGTACAGCAGGATAAAGTGTGGGGAGGTGGGGTAGGGAAGAGAAACATTTCCTGTTCCCCACTCAGGAAATGGGAACAAAGACTCCTCCCTTCCCCTTTCTTTATTCCCATCTCCAAAGCTAAAGGGATGATGAGGAAAGGCTCCAGGAGACAATGGGAAAATAGCACCTGTAAGAAAGGAAATTGGTGCCTCAGTTTCTAACTAGATGTGTGGCAGAAATCTATAGGTCACCAAGGGAATTCTTCAGTGAATCTGACATGCTATACCTGAAGGTCTAAAAGCATGGGTATATTCTAAGCGATCTACTTATATGGAAATTTTTAAAGGAGGTATGCTTACAGCAGCATAAAAAGTACTAAAGTATATTGTGCCCAGTTCTCTGCAGCCCTTGGAGAGCAAGGAAGAGGACCTCAGCAGTTACCATGTTCCATAATGAGAAGGCACAGGAGATACCAAGTTTGGGAATACTCCATCTTTAAAAAGGGGTTTGGGAAATGGATAGCTAGCAGGAGTCAATGAGAAATAGAGCTCCTCAGTGATAAAAAGAACTGGAAATTAAACAATATGCCTGAAATGCCCCCCCACACTAACCTGTATACAGAGAATACTGCATCAACAGATAGGACAGGCAGCAGGTGGAACTATATTAAACCACGATCACGCATTACCTCCCATCACTGAGACCATTAGATAACATCTTGCCTTACCTATTCATCCTCCCAACTCCACTATGAAGGAGTTAAGAAGAAGGATGAAGCAGCTCCAGTCTTTATACTTCACCTGTACCCCAAAGTGCTGAGATAGAAAGAAGAGTAAAAAGAAGACAACATAGCCTCTCCACTTACTTCAGATCCCTCAAGACACAGGTCTGACCCATAAAAGAGTCTGGGTACATAGTTTTGAAAATAACTCAAGATCAGAATTTTAAACTGATACAGTAAGTTTTAATAACTAAAAGTAAGAGCTGTGAAATCTCTATAAAATGCCATTAAGGGATCTACACAGGGAAGGTTTGGTAGAGCACAGGTAAAAGCAGTGATTAGGAAAAAATAAAACTGGAGGTATTTGTACCTCTTTTGAGTCTTCCCAATAAACTTTTTTACATAAGGTAAATCCTGAAAGTTGGCTGACAATATAATAGAACTCCAAATGGAATTATGATATTCAGTCAGAATGTAAGCTCGGACAGGGCTTAAGAAATTATCAAATCAGAGCCAGGCATGCTGGCACATACCTATAATTCTACTGCTCAAAAGGATGAAGCAGAAGGATTGAGAGTTCTAGGCTAGCCTAGGCTACACAGAAGACAAAGACAAGAAAGAAAAGAAAGAAGAGGGAAAAGGGAAAGAAATGAAAAGAGAAAGGAAAGGAAAAGGGAAGAGAAGGGAAAGGAAAGGAAGATAGGAAGAAAGGAAGGAAGGAAGAGGAAGAGACAGACAAAGAGAAAGAGAAATCAGCTGGGAGTGTGACTCAGTAGTGCTTGCCTAGCATGTGCAAGGGCCTGGGTTTGATACCCAACATGGTGGGGAGGGAGGGAGAATTAGAAATTACCAAATCAAGCCTGCTCTGTTTTCTTTTTTTTTTTTTTTTGAGGCAGGGTCTTGCTAAGCAGCCCAGGCTGGCCTAGAACTCACAATCCTCCAACCTTAGCCTCCCTAATGCTGGGATTTCCCATGTCAATCTAAGCCTTCTTTTTCCAAATTGCAAACTGAGCTCCTCTGTCCCCCAAAAGAAATTCAAGATCTCAAGGGTAACAGATGTTGCTTTGGAGCAAGGATTCAAATCTATTTCCACTTATATTCTTTCCTCTATGCTACATTATCACCAAAAGACTGACGTGATGAAAAAGTTTGGGGAAGATAGCTACCACTATCTTGGCAGCTAACACAGGTTGGTCTAGGAGAGGCTGGAGGTAAGGAAGACTAGCTGAAAAGAAGTATCAGTAGTTAAAGCATATTAAGTTAGGGCAGTTAGGCAATTCTTATAATCAAGAATGGGTTACGGCAGTCATCAGATAAAAGCATTCTAACATCCAGTGACTCATTGGTGCTATCCTGAGCTATTCATCGGTAACAGGAACACAACCTTTCCATTCACAGATACACAAAACAGGTAAAAATAAAACTTACCTTATTATATTGTCTGATGTTAACAGCACTATATGAGGATCCAGCATTTCACTTGGATACCAGGCAGCATGCTTTAGAGTCAGAGAGGTAGAACTGGTGAAAAACCTCTCAGCAATTGGAGTAGTACTAAAATAAAGATAATAATTTTCCAAAACATTTGTAGTAACTGAATGAAAAACCTCTAAAGGAAAATCTATTTTAACACTCTCCTTTTTCTCTTCTTTAAATTTCTTTCTCTTAAATCTTGCTGAAAGCATTCAAAGAACCTTATCAATCAATATTAAAGAATCAAAATGAAAATATTTTCTAAATTACAGCATATTTTACACAAGAGGTTTTCAATACAGTGTCTTATTTGATCCTTTAATAATCATGTAAGGAAACTGTAAGGGCAGATACCATCATGATTATCTTGAAAATTAGAAAACAAAGATCTAGAAAATACCGAACAGTACAAGTGGACTCTGCTTTTATATCATAGAGCTAAAAGTGAGTTTCTACCTTATTCTTCTCAGTAGACCTTTTAGATACTTTTCTCCATTTGTTGAAAAGAAATTACATAAGCCTAAAACTGCAAGTGATGGTACACCCTGTAATCTTAGCACTCAGGAAGCTGAGGCAAGAGGATTATAGGTTTGAAGTCAGCCTGTGCTACATAACAAAATTAAGTTGGAAGTACTTCTGTTGAGTACTGGGCTACATAGTGAGACCTTGTCTCAATCAATCAATTAAAATCTAGACAAACTTTTGAGCAAACTTCTGGCTCCTGGACAATAACTGTGTTTAAAAATTTTATTTCTTAGGGCTGGGTGTGACTGAAGTGGTCGAGTGCCTGCTTACCAAGCATGAGGCCAAGTTTAAACACCAGTACTGCCAAAAAGGAAAAAGAAAAAAAAAAATCTTATGTCAAGCATGGTAATGCATGCCTGTAATCCCAGTTACTCAGGTGGTAAAGGTAGGATGATCATGGTCCAAGGCTGGCCTGGATAAAAGCGTGAGACCCTATCTGAAAAACAAATTAAAAACAAAAGGATTGGGGGGATGGCTGAAGTTATAAGGGCACTTGTTAAGTGCAAGACCCTGAGTTCAATTCCCAGCACCACCCCATCCAAAAAAAAAAAAAAATTCTATTTCTATGAAACTGGAAGAGTAGGCTAACTTTCAGTGAGACAGCAGAGTATAATCACACATACACTATAAACATTAGTATCTGGCCAAGAGCATGTCTATAATGCTAGCTACCTGGGAGGGAGAAATAGGAGGATTGTGGTTTGAGGCCAGTCTGGGGCGTGGGGGTGAGGTGAGATCCTATCTCAAAGAATAAGCTGGGCATGGTGGGGCCCATCATAATCTCAGCTACATAGGAGGCATAGATAGGAGGATGGCAATCTTAAACCAGCCAGGCAAAAAGCATGAGACCCTATCTGAAAAACATTTAAAGCAAAAAGGGCTGGAGTCATAGTCCAAGTGGTAGAATGCAAGTGTGAGGCTCTGAGTTCAAGACCCAATACTACCAAAAATCCCTCAAGATGAAACAAAACAAAAAATCTAAAACACTGATATCACAGAAAGCCCACCTACAGACCATATGGAGTACTTTAACGTTTCAATAGTAGCATACTATACACATTTTTTTTTTTTACTCTTGGTCTTGAGAGCAATTTTACGGATGTAATTTTCTGTAAATTTCACAGATAAACACTCAATGGAAACACAACTTACCTACAATTCACTGTTGCTTTTCCACCTTCAAATTCAGAATTCTTTCCCCATCTTTTAGGTAATTCTAGTACCATAAGTCCTTTTATTCCTATAAGTGCTACATGATGGTGTGTTGGACTTAACAAGACTTGATAAATTTCAAATAGGGGTGGATTTATGCAAAGCAATTTCTGAAATAAAAGCAAATTAGTCAAAATGGTAAATTTTAATGTTAATATACGTGGCAGCTACCTAAAACCAGAGTCATGCTTTAGTTTTCTACATTTATAGGAAAACAAAGCATTCTGGATAAGTATAAACACTTGGACTATTAACTGATAAAATATTTTTAATCATTTAGACTGAAATGTTATATAAAATGCATCGAGTGTTCCTACTTTGACTGAGACTACTACATCAAATTTTCCTTTCTATGATTAATCTTCAGACTACCATGCCAACTCTCCACCATTCCTTTTTCATTCTTTTTACCAACTACATTAATATTTTGATTAAAAATTTTTTAATCTGATTTTATTTTTTAATAAGCATTTTTGAGAAATCATCATGGTTTGCTGTTTGTCCTCTTCCTGCAGGGCCCTCAGTTTTCTCTTATAGCTGGCTTATACATCCTTGGAGACTTAAGCTTTTGTTCCCTTTGTGCCCAAGAAAATATTACTGATCTTGTGGCCAGGAAATAATGCACCCTGGATAATTTCTCCAGACTTCTTATGCACTCTTAATGTCCTTTCTTCACTTGCCCATTTGACACAACTGACTACACATTTCTTGAGATCCGTCTTTCCTCTCTATAACTATTGAGAATCTGCAGACTTAGTGAATAGACAAATGAACTCAGAAGTATTACATTATAAAATGGTACAAGATAAAGAATGATTTTAAGAGCTTTTGCAGCAAATAGAATGCTGCTTTATCTATGCAGACTTCATATGAAAATGGTATTTTAAGGAGTTTCTGATAAGCTGCTTGTTTTAGCATCATGTGCCCTCCAAAAATTTAACGTTTTCTATTGGAGTGCTCTATCACTTGAGCACTCTGCCAGCCCTTCCATTTCTTTCTTTCTTTTTTTTCTATTTTCAGTAATGAATGATGAAACTGGCAAAGTATTGTTTACCCTAGTATAGCAACTCACCTCAATCCAAAATCCTTTTAGACAAGCCTATTCTGAATATAATGAGATTTCTACTCACTGCTATTGATGTCTCTAAGCCTGTGTGATTGTTAGGTGCCTTTTGCTGATTCTAATCAAATTGGTTTGTTTCTCTTGTCAGGGGTTATTTCCCTCTCCCTCCCCCCTCCCCATCATACTCAACCTCCACCTTCTTTCTACTTGATTTTGACAGTCCAATTTAAATTAACACCACCTTGCTTCTGCTACATATACATTCCACCATGTAAGTCCACTTGCATATTTAGATTTTTGTTGTTACTATTTTTAGAGTCACTGGTCATCCTTTTTATAATATTCAAAGTTATAATTCATGATTGCCGCTTTCTTTCTGATTTCTGAGTTTTGTAGATTCTGGAGGATTGAGGGTTATGATTGTGGTCACCACTATTTGCTAAGATGTTGTATCTTCTAGGCACACTGTTAAGTGCTGGACATACAATAAAGAGTAAGATAGCCAGGAACAGTTATGCATACTTGGAATCCCACCTCTTGGGTGTCAGCGGCAGGAGGATCTGGAATTCAAGGACAGTTGTGAGTTCAAAGAAAGCAGTAAAACCCTGTCTCACAAAAAAGTCTGGTGCCAGTGGCTCAGGAAGGCAGAGATCAGAAAGACCAAGGTTTAAGGCCAGCCGGCTGGGGCAAATAGCTGGAGAAACCCTATCTTGAAAATATCCAACACACACAAAAGGGCTGGCAGAGTGGCTCAAGTGGGTGGTAGAGTGCCTATGCTAAAAAGAGGGAGGGCTGGGAGTCTGGCGGTGTGAGAAGGTGCTGGCTCAAGTGCTAGTGAGCTTTCTTAGGCTCTGGATTCAAATTCCAGCACCCAGAAAGTAATGATAATAATAAAAAAAGCGAGGCAGACACAGCCTGACCTGGTGCTTACAGACTAGAAATGAACAATAAATAATTTTAAATAATTAAATTATTATTGTGCCAAATGCGGTATAGTAATGTAGAATGCTAGCAGAATACTGCGTGCTGGTAGGCACACATCCATAGTCCCATATATGGGGAGTTTGAGGTAGAAGGACTGCTTGAGCCCAGGAGTTCAAGGCGAGCCTGGGCAACATAGTGAATTCTCTCTTAAAAGAAAAAAGGGTTAAAAAAAGATGTACTGTGTGCTAAACACCTTATAATTATTTGTAAGGGAAGTTTTACAGTAAGTAGATGTAGTCTTCACATAATTTCAAAACTGCAGAAGCAATGCACCGTCCTAAAATCAAATCACTTGTCAACAATTAGTCCAGGGCACTCCACTAATGCTTGCCACGTTTACTTTATAATCTTTAAAAGAAGAGCCTCAACTTATTATAAATTTGATTACAGCGAGTATGGAACACTTTCTGATCACATCCACTTTCACACGCCATTGGCTTATCAAAAACCAACAGGCAGGAGTCCGCTGGCTCACGCCTGTAATCCTAGCTACTCAGGAGGCAGAGATCAAGAGGTGCGTGGTTCGAAGCCGGCCCAGGAAAATAGTTCGCGAGACCGGATCTCGAGGAAAAAAAAAAAAATTACAAAAAGGGTTGGTGGAGTGACTCAAGTGGTAGAGCACCTGAGTAGCAAGCGTGGGGCCGAATGCAAACCCCAGTGCCGCCAAAAATAAACACAAACAACGAGCACTTTCAACTATGGAAAAGGCTTAATTTTTGCAAAGAGGACAAAACACCAAGCAGGCTCCCTCCTCCATGCCAGGCGTGGAACGCTGCTTTTTCCAATCTTATCATCAGATTTAATCCTCACAGACCCCAAGAGGAAGCCATGAGTACAGCTATCACATCATGAGACGAGTGTCCCCCGACCGGCCCACAGAACCCCCCGTGCCGGGATCAGGCGTTCTCAACCATCACCGAAGCAGTTCCCGATCGGCCCGCGGTCCTCCGCGTCCTCCCTGACCGCGCGAGTGAGGAGGACGGGGAGGACGGCGCTTTCTACTCCCGGCGGGACGCTCCCGAGGACCTGTCCCCAAGCACACCAGATGGGGAGGAGCGAGCTGGAAGCCCTTCCGACAGGGCCCGGCCGTACCTGGTACTGCGAAAGGGCGGGCTCCTCGCCGCCGAGGCCCCGAAGGCGAACCACTAAGAAGGAGCTGCTTTCTCCGTCCCACAGGAAGAGTTCTCCGCCGAGGCCGAACACCAGATTTCTCATCAGCAACTGCGGCGGCAGAGGCGGCGGCGAGGGCAATGATGAAGATGCCGGTTTTTCGGCTTCAGTTGGATTCTGGTTTTTCAGTCCCTCTTGGAGCCGCAAGAACACGACGTGGTTAGGTAACCAGGTCTGCCATAGTTCACCATCGCCCGCAGACCCTTCGGCGGCCGCCATCTTGGCCCAATTGCTTTTCCCATTCCTGTTGCTCAGCCCGCCGTTGAGCGCGGCCACTCATCCACTACTACAGCCAATCATCGAGCAGGTATCCTGGACGCACGAGGCTAGGGCGAAGCGGAGCCTTACCTATCAGACAAGGGCGTCGCCAGAGGAAAGCCAATCGCCAGCCCTGAATTTATCAAAGGGGGCGGGACGCGGCTGTCAACAGACTAGTACCTACTTAGGGACAGTTTTGTTATTGCTCCAAGTCCAGTTCCTGGGAAAGAGTCTGAGAACTGTGTTATCCAATTGCCTATTGGAGACGTCCATCGGGGTAAACCCAAGCATCTAGAACTTTCCCTCAGGACTCACTTCCTTCAGAACATGTTGGCATAACAGCACAAAAGTCCACCCAATTCTTGGGTTCTCCAGATCTGGTTCTATAGGAGGCTGGCCAGTAAGACACTTCCCAGAATTCCTTGCGACCTAAGCGTCATCCGCACCCAGAGACTACAACTTCCATGGTTCTGTGAGAGCAGCGAGGGGGCGGGGCTTTGGGCGGTGACTCCGGCGACGAGATGGCAGATTCCTCTAGTTCTCGTCACCGCCTGCTATACAAAAAGGTGGGCTCGCCGCCCTGGAAAGAGGCTTTCAGGCAGGTGAGTGTGCGGTTTGGGCTTTGGTTGCTTCCCTAATCCGTCCCAATGACCGCTGTCCCCTCTACTTTTGCGTCAGCCCTACTCTGTGAAGCAGATGCCGGGAGCGCCTGGCCAGTAAAGGTGGACGTCGAATCCTCCCCTGAGCCGAGGGTTGGCTCATGGCCACCGCCCAGCTACCGCCGGGTTTTTGGCGCCCTGGGTGTGTGTCATTATCCCGGTGGGTGCAGTCCCAGGAAGCTTTGTTTTTAGATTCAGGTTTGTTTCAAACACACCTGTACAATAACACCGCCCCCCACTGCTGTTGGGTCAGTAGGCAGGGAGAGAGACGCTTTGCGTGCGGGTGTCACGAGAGATAGGAGAGGTTCCCACTCCAGAGAGGAGTCAGAAGAGCCTCAGTAACTAACTGTCCACAGTGTTGTCCTCTCCTCGGTGTGGCTTCTTCTGAAGTCCTAGGGAGTTCCTAGGGAGTCATTCTGCCTCTCTGTCCAGGAATCGCTAAAGTGGTGGACATAGCCCAGGAAAGACTGTGCAGCAAGGCTTCTCCACTGTGAGTGTTAACACGGTGAGGGAGAACGTTCTTTGTGGTGGAGGCTGTTCTGTGCGTCCTAGGACGTTTAGCTGCAGCATCCCTGGCCTCTCTACCTACTAGATGCCAGTAGTTCTACAACTAGAGTTGTGACCACCCAAATGTTTCCAAACATTGACATATATCCCTTAAGGGACAAAATCATGGAGTTGAGAAACACTGTTGTATAGGCAGGCCATCACTACAGGCATATGTAGAGTAGCAAGAATTTGGAAGCAGGGGGACTGGGAACCAGCAGGAAGGTGAAAGGAAAGAATGAAAGGGGAGCAAATATTATTGAAGTACTTCATATGCATGTATGAAAATAGAATAACGAAACTGATTAATATTGTTTAGAAAAGGGGGGATAAGAGTACTAAAGGGATGAATTTGATCATAGTACATTATATGCATGTATAGAAATATAATAAAACTCCTTTGTATAATTAATAAACACTAATAGAAAAAGAGAAGAAAATAAATTTGGAAGCAACATAATAGTCAGTGGATGCTGAGATACTAGGCACCCAACCTTTAAGGATATTAGCATTGAGATAGAATGTAAAATATGGTGATCTGGAAATACATGAGCAAAAACATCTAGGAAACTTATGCAGCAATAGCAGTGGTTAATGTTACAGTTGAAATTTTGTGTCTAAATTTCTTTTAATGTTTTACTAGATAATTTAAGAGATTTTTTTTTAATGGAATTGATTCCCCCTGACTCCCCCGCCCCCATCCTGCTCCTTTTCTCAAGGGATGTCTGGAGAGAATGAGAAACAGCCGGGACAGGCTCTTGAACAAGTACCGTCAAGCTGGCGGCAGTACACCAGGGAGAGGCCGTAACAGGCTTTTAGTGCAAGAAGTGATGGAGGAAGAGTGGAATTCTTTGCAGTCAGTGGAGAACTGTCCACAGGCCTTGGCTCAGGTCAGACTGGGATATGTGTTTGAAGGGATGGGTCTACACCACAAAGATCTCATAGTGTCCTCCTTGTACCTTTGTATCCAAGTCCTTTCATTGTACTCACCCCTTTGCCCTCAAGCTTTGGACCCAGACTCTTCTGCCTTTACCATTAGACTTTGTCATGTTGATAGTTCCTTAACACCAGACCATATTCCTGCTGTGTCCTTGCAACATAATAACTTATAAAACTAAAAAGAAAGATTGCCTCCATCCTTGGAGATTTTGACTCAGTAGGCCTGATCTAGGAATCGCTCCCTTTTTTTTTTGATTTTTTTTTTTTGGCAGTCCTGAGGATTGAAATGAGGCTTCACACTTGCTAGGCAGGTGCTCTACTGCTTGAGCCATGCCCCAGTCCTTTTTGTACTGGTTATTTTTTGAGATGGAGGGGCTCTCACTTTTTGCCCCATGATCCTCCTATTTTACATTTCTTGCCCTAGCTGGGATGACAGGTATGAGCCACTGCATCCAGACATCCAGCTCTTAGTTGAGATGTGGTCTTATGAATTTTTTTCTTTTTAATGCCTGAGTTGGCCTAAAACTGTCATTGTTACAGTCTCAGCTTCCCAAGTAGCTAGGGGGAAATCTCTCTTTAAAATAAGAGGGGGTTGGGGAGACTGGGGGTGTGACTCAAGTGGTAGAATGGCTGCCTAGCAAGTGAGTCAAACACCAGTACAACTAAAAAAAAAAAAAAAGAAAGAAAGTTTCCAGGAATATTTTGCTTCCAATTCCAATTTTAGCCAGAGTTGAAAGCTGAGTGTAGATAGGAAAGTATTTACAGTGTATTAGGAAAGGAACTGGATTGGAAGTTGGGAGTTTGGGATTCTGTTTTTGCTATTGACTCATAACTGCACTCTTTTGTTTTGTGCTTTAGTTTTCACATTTACAAAATGGAGAAGATACTGTTGCCAACATTGTGAGGACTATGCAACAAAACATACAGAAACTACTTAGAAACCATCAAGGCACATATAATGATACATTTTTCAATGACATCCTTGTGTCCTGTCTATAGTATGCTAAATGTTTGCATTATGTCACTGCAGTTAGTATTTACAATAGGTCTTTCAGATAGGTCGTACTCCCACTTTACAGAGGCTGAAACAGGTTTACAAGGACTAAGGTACTTTGCTATGATCACATAGCCTTGAAAAGACATATATTTAACTGCTTCCCTAAACTGTCTTTCTCATATTTTGGTGCTATTATTTTGACATGGGGTAGTTTGATCATTTGTTGATAATATCTTAGCATGAGCACATTACCCATTGTCAACAAATTCTGTGGAGGACTAGGCCTATCGTACCAGGTAAATCTGGTTCTTCAAGCCAGCATACAAGTATGAATCACTGTAGAGACTAGTGATAGAGTTAGGAGTTTTGGATTGAGTTTTTTGTTTGGTTGATTGGTTTATGGCAGTGCTAGGGATTAAATCTGGGGCCTTGTGCTTGCTATTCAGTTACTCTACCACATTACCACATGAGGCACATCCTTCCCAGTCTCAGGCTTTTTTGGTGGTGGGGGATACATAGTCTTGCTGTGCAGCTTAGTAGCCCAGGCTGGCTTTAAACTCTCTATCTTTGTGCTTCAGCCTCCTGAGTGATAGGATTACAGATGTGTATCACTACACCTAGCTGGTGGCAGATTAATACTTCAGACTTCAGATGAACCCACTTTCTCTTGCAGTGGGGCTCACCGATGGACCTAGCTCTGCTGGAGGAGATCCAACAGGAGCTGATTGATGAAGGTAACTCCAGGGAGTTTTCCTTCCTGCCCTTATGTAGCTACTCTAATGCTGACCTCTCCTTGAATCAGGATTAGTTCTTAATTCCTGTTCTACCTCTGTCTTCAATCAAGTGTTCAGATGTCTGTGTTTTAATTTCTGAATTCTTGGCCATCTATCTTCTCAATCTTAAGAGTCTCCAGAGTGGTAGTATCCATGATGCTATTTTCTCCTTGTGACTAACCATACAAGATAATATTAGACAGAACAGAAAGTAGTGTTCTCACACAGGTCACACAGCTAGCAAATGGTAGAGTTGGGAAGCAAAACTAATTTTGTGAATCCAGTTCCCATGTTTATTTTGTCCTGCCTCTTTATTTCTAAATTAAACTAGGTGTGGTGGCATGTACCTGTAATCCTTGCTACTTGGGAGGTTGAGGCAGGAGGATCACTTGGGTCCACCAGTTTCAGAATACCCTTGGAAACATAGCATGACCTATGTCTTTAAAAAAAATAATAATCGGTTAATAATAAACCTGTCACTTTACAGGGTGCAATGCATCGTCAGATCCCCCTTGTTTTGCTTAATTTACGTGCCATCTCTCTCATCCTTTCATTATTGATAATCCCAGGATTTAGTGAGCATTCTCTCCTTGAGGAATCTGTAACATCATGTATAATTAGTGCCTTATCTAATTAAGTCATTGATTACACATTGCCTTGTCTTGCTTGACTAGGCCTCATCTTTATCATCTGTAAAATAGAAATAATAGAACTACCCTGAATTTTGGGGGGAGGGTTGTTTTGGTTTTTTTTCGAAATAGATCCTTGCTGTGTAGCTCATGCTAGTCTCAAATTTGGGATCCTTCTGCCTCAACCTCCCAAATGCTGGAATTACAGGCATGCCACTACACCTGGTGAGTTTGTCGTAAGACTTTTTAAAAAAATGTTTGTGGAAGACTTTGCACACTATCTGGCACATAGAAAACTTTCACTAATTGATAGCTATTATTGTGGAAATAATAGAGCACATACCTTCAAGCCAGACCTCGAAGAGTCACTTCTCTGCTTTACCACTTTAACTTGTGTGGCACTAAGGAAAACACTTAATTTCCCTGTGCCTCAGTTCCTTCATCTTTGAAATAAAGATTATAATAATGAAGAAGTTACAATATGTAAAGGACCTAAACAACATTTGCTATGTAACAAGTGCTGTACAAGTGACAGCTATTAGGTTTACTATTGACTTTAAATTAGACTATAAATTGCTTGTTTAGTTATTATACTTTTTTATTGCTTCTGTCTTTTTCCTTCTACAAAACCTGTATTTATGATGAAAGGTAGGACTTGCTAAGCATTTCTTAGGGGTGATATTTAACTACAGATTCTGAAATGATAAGAATTTCTGTGCTTTGCTACACTCAAACAGAAGAAACATTCTGGGCTAGGGGGCATGGCTCAAGTGGTAAGTGCCTGTATAACAAATGAAAGACCCTGAGTTCAAACCCCACTACTCCTCTCCCCCCAAAAAGAAGAAACACTCCAAAGCAGGGTTAGGAATATGGATGTGGTAGTGCTTGTAATCTCAGCTACTCAGGAGGCTGACACAAGGAGAGTCATGAGTTCTAGCCCAGCCTGAGCCACATAGCAAGAGTCTGTCTTACACAATAAGAAAGTATAAAGCCGGGGTTGGTGATGTTTCTGTGAAGGATGAGAAGGGAACTATTTTAGACTTTTCAGCCCATATTGTGACGTGCCGGTGTTGAAGTGTTGGGGGACGGTGTCGAGGGTCCTTGCCTTCACAGGCCAGAGAACCGGCTCCTGAGACAGCTGACTGACTTGTGAGCCAACGCTGGTATATAAAGTAGGATTTATTAGAAAGGAAAGGCTAAGCTAGAGCACTGCAGCGGAGCCCAGAAGCTGGTAACTCCCTGCTCAGGTGAAGGCTGGGGGTTTTTAAGGACGCTTTAACTCTGGGTTAGGGTGTCAGTTAGGTGGGTTTTTCCTATTGGCCATGTATTTGCATGGGGGCCCCCTTAGATGAGCTGGTCTGTTTGCCCCTTATTGGGGGGGGAACAACATTGAGAGCATTTTGTTTATCAGTCCTGTGGCAGATTTGTGAGACCCTGTGTCTCTTCCTCAGAGTACAGGAATGCAGGTTTATAACTCCCTCTCAGGATGCAGGAATGTAGGTTTATATCTCCTTCTCAGGGTGCAGGGCTCATGGGGTTCTCCATGGGGGATGGGCTACTTACTCATCTGCCTTAGGTACCCAGACCCAACAAGTCCCCTTCTGAGACAAGTACCCAACTGCTGTTGGGGAGAGGGGCTTCTTCGTGCTCACAATGGGGTGATGGCGGGTGGGAAAGGTGGTACTTGTCTCAGGGGTTGACCCATGTAGTTTGTAGGAGCCCCCAGTAGAACAGGACGCAGGGCTCATGTGTAGGCAGGGGTGAGTATTCCTTGACTAAAAGCTGGAGTTTGATCCACTGGACCTATTGAGATATGAATCTGGAGAGGATGTATATTATACAAGGCCCAAATAGGAGTATTAGAAGGAGCATAAAAAGGGGGCCAGCCAGAGGTAGTGCCCAAGGATCCCAGCCCCATAAGTTGTCCCAGAAGGACCACAAATTGGCTAGTTCTTGTCTCCTTTTTGTAACACGTTCTCTTAACTATCGGGTCATGTTTATGACCACCCCAGATTTATTAGCATAAAAGCAACATCCTCGTTTAGGAAAAGGTACGTTCCACCCTTTTCAGCAGTTAATAGGCCAAGTGCATGCCTATTTTGGAGCACTACTGACGTGAGTGAGTCTACCTGGTCTTGTAAAGCCTCTGTGGACTGAGTGACCTGTTCTATGTCATTATTAAATTTGGCTGGCAGCTTTTGATAGGTATAAATTGACGAAGAAATGCCCCCAATGCCAGTACCTATTCCAGCCGTGATCCTCATAACTATCAGTAGGGGAATGATTTGGATAACTCTTTTTGACCGAGTGTATGCTTCTAGAGGAATAGGAAGGGATTGATTACCAGAGACAACATCAATTTGTGGGGTTAAGAGAGCCTTAGTACAGGTTCCCTTCCAGCCAGGAGGCAGGCAAGTATAGGTGGCAGCTCCACAAACAAAATAAGTTCCAGGAGAAAATAAACACTGAGTGTTATTTGTTGACTGTGTGATAGTGATGCAAAAGTTTTTGGAAATTTCACTCAGTGGAATTGACCCCTGTAAACTTTGGAGGCACTGGGGAGCAGGATGGGTTAGTTTTATATTGGTAATATTAGGTTTTGTTAAGGAAGGGTTTAATTTATTACCTGGTGAGACCTCAAGTGAGTCCATGGGGGTTGGCAATACCTGTGGAAGGCTTGGAGAGAGACAAAGCCAGCAATCCTTAGCCAAAGAGGGGTTTGTAGAGTTTAAAAGATGATGGGCAGAGTTTAATAACCTGAACAGCTGGGGATTTAGATCCATGGGTGGCTGAAGCTGTGGGATTTGTGATTTTTTCCTGGGAGGGGGTGTGGGCAGTGGGAGTCTCTGCCGCACATAGTTTACATGATCCTCCTGTGACATGTCAGTAAGTATTTCTACTTTTGTTTTTACAGTCTCTTTTTTTTTTTTAATTTTTTTTCCCTCCTGTGGCCAAGAGATCCATTGGCCTGCTCTTCCTAGACATTGGGTGGGACCATACATGCCAACAAAGCCGGTGCCTAATGCCTTGCCATACAGTTGTCCATCTTTTAAACAGCAAAGACTGCTATAGGAAAAACCAGGTGCAGTGTTGTAGTAACTGCAATTATGAGGGCAGGGAAAGGGACCTGCAGCCAGAGCACAAAGAGCTCTCCTTCCTCTTATACAGGTACACAGGGTATATAGGACAAGGCATCCACCACTCAAGGCTACTCGTTGGGGCCACACCAACTCAGGGGGAAAAGTTGCCCACAAGCTGACACTTAGAAGAAAGGGGAGGAGAATAAAAACAGCCCACAAAAAGGGAGGATGTGAAGGCATAGGTTACGTGTTCGAGGTGTTCCTTTTGAAAAGATATTTGAGGTCTTCCACTGGCTCATAGGAGTAGGCTTGTGGAGCATGGTGTGGCTCCGAGGTGGGTGTGTCAGGCTCTCGTGTCCAACATTTGGCTCAGGAGATGTGAGTCTAGGAGTCTAGCCTAGTGACCTTTAGATCTCCAGGACAAAGGGCAGCCGGGGAGAGGCCTTGAGGCTCCTCCCTCCCTACTTCAGAGAGGACCTACTGAAACCTGGCTAGTTGAGTGATATGAGAGACTAGGTTAGTTACTTCGGGGTCTAAAATTAAATCTTTTTTGGAGAAAGGGTCTCCCATATAAGGCTTCAAAGGGAGTAAGGCCCATTTTATTTGGGGTGTTTCTAAGTCGGATTAAGGCTAGAGGTAGTAATTTTTGCCAGGGGAAGTGAGTTTCCTTAGCCAATTTAGACAGGTGTCTCTTGAGTAGTCCATTGGCCCACTCAACCTTGCCTGAAGATTGGGGTCTCCAGGCACAGTGGAGATGATATTTGATTCCCAAAGCCTTAGAGACTCCCTGAGTGACTTCCTCTCAGAAGGCCAGCCCATTGTCACTTTGGAGAGTCTGGGGGAGTCCAAATCTAGGGATAATCTCGCTATTTGGAACCTTAGTTACCTCCCGGGCCTTTTTAGAAGAGCAGGGGAATGCTTCAACCCACCCAGTAAAGGTATCCACCAGAACCAGGAGCAATATAGAGGCTGGGCCCCCTGGCAGGTGGGTGAAGTCAAGCTGCCAGTCCTCCCCTGGATATGTCCCCCGCTCTGAGTTTCCAGGGATGGGCAGTGTGCAGGGGTTGTTACACTGACAGATTTCACATCCTAATCGTATCCTGGAGAGTCTCCAAGTTTATCCCTCGAATAGTCGCCCTGCCATGGAGAGTGTCTTATTGGACCCCCAAGTGATAGGTCTGGTGAGGGTTTTAGGACCTTCCATTGGCTACTCTGTGGAAGAAATAATTTGCTCTCAGGAGTTATCCACCAT